CTTGTTTTTGGATAGTTTGGTGGTGAAAATATACGTCAGTGGATCGGTTTAACCAGTCTGAACCAGGCGAGTATGAGGAATGTAAAAGTCTGAGGAAAGGAGAGCAAGAACTGGTTTCATGTGCATGTGTGTTAAAGTCAAGGCAGGGAGAGCAGCAGCAAAGACCAGAGGAACAGAAGTGAGCAGAGAGAGGAAGAGCCGGCATGGAAGTGAGCGAAGAGTTGTCAGCTGATGAGAGGCTCCATGTGCACGCAGGGAGACCAAATTCATGACCTTTCAATCTCCTTAAATATAGATATTAGCTTGATTATGTACTGTTTCACAATGTACGTCACAGCGCCACCCTCTGTATAACAGACTAAGAACTATTTAGATTCTGGATTAAAACAGCAGCTTTGTTTCTGAGCTCAAAGACCTCCACAGATAATCCACCTTCCTCAAGCTAACACCTGCAAACAAGCTAGCGGTAGCTCAGCTCGCAGCCCCTATATCCCCAGAACCATCAGACTGATGATCTAACCAATCAGCTTTGTTTTTGAGTTTAAAGACCTCTGCAGATAATTTAATCGCAAACAAGCTAGTGGTAGCTTAGCTCGCAGCCCCCTAGACTATTTAGATTCTGGATGAAAACAGCAGCTTTGTGTCCGAGCTCAAAGACCTCTGTAGATACTCCACTTCCCTCACACCAACATCTGCAGACAAGCTAGCCGTAGCTCAGTTCGCAGCCCCTAAATCCCCAGAACCATCAGACAGATGATCAATAAGCCAATAAGATTCATTTCTGAGCTTAAAGAACTATACAGATGATTCAATTGCAAACAAGCTAGCGGTAGCTTAGCTCCCGGCCCCCTAGACTATTAAGACTAACAGCAGCTCAGTTCTCAGCCCCTAAATCCCCCAAACCATCAGACGGACGATCTTAGCCCTGCCGATAATTAACAGGCCTGTCCTCTAATTAGTGATCTTTCCAACTGTGACTTATTATGCTTTAAAATAACCTCTGCTTCTGTCCCCGGAGTCGCTGAAATCCAAAGTTAGCTTCATGAAATCATCGTTGGACAGCAGAAAAATAGACTAACTGTCACGATATTTCCTGTTTATTTAGTTTTCTCCTGGTTTTATTAGTTTATTTTTCTGTGTATTTTCTCCAGTGTTCCTGTTCCCCTGTAGTCCAATCTTGTGAGTTTTCAGCTTGTCTCTGTTTCCCTTCTGTTCTCTGTGTTTTATTCCTTAGATTAGTTCTCAGTGTTTATTTCCTGTTTTATTTTGTAGGAGTTGATTCTTTGTGTTTCCAGTCTGGTTTTACTTCCCTAGTTTTTCCTCCCTCGTTAATCACTCATGAGTCTCACCTGTGTCTCGTTTGTCTCACCTGTGTCTCGTTTGTCTCACCTGTGTCTCGTTTCCCTGTGTGTATATAGTCCCTGTCTTCCCCTCTGTCCTTGTTGGTTCATTGTGTGTGTTATATCTGCCAGTTCACCATTTAGTTCTTTTAAATAAATCCTGTTTTTTAGTCTGTATTATTGGGGGTTTTTCCGTTGCGTTGTGACACAAACACTGAAAAGCGACTGGCAGCAGTGTGTCACAGAGTTTTTAGTCAAGCATCAACCCTTTTGAAAATAAAACATTTTAGCTCTGCAGAGATTTCATTCCAGGACTTTTTTGTGCCATGTTGTTATTTTCTTGCCGTGTTTACACTCGAAGCCCGAAGTCAGTTTTCAAAAGGCCATAATTCCCCGCTCGGAGCTTTACAGGTGCAGAGCTGTTTTCATAAAGTCATCGTCGCACTAAAATACGAGCATACAAACATCCACAGAGAGAAATCTCAGCAGACAGAGGCAGAGACACACAGGGTCAGAGTAATTCCCACCCATAAATCCATGAAATGAAATAGGCCAGCAGAGCCTCAGCACGCCGGCCTCTGATTGGTCGGCGGGCTCGAAAAAAGGGGGGCAGGTCAGTGTCTCTAATCTCTCTGTAACCTGCCATTCACTGTCCTGCACTATTAGATCAGTTACTAAATCCTATCAAATATATTGCTGTCTGTGAGGCTCAGAAGCTGCCACCTGCAGTCACTCGTCATTAAAGCCGCGGCTGAAAAGATCCTGTTTGTCAGTATTACAAAGGGGCGGAGTCAGCGCGGTGCTGAGCCAGGATTAAGGCTGCCGCGGGACGGTGGGAAACATCAACAGGAATGCTGCAGCAGAGGGTTCCCAAGACTGTAAAAGGCTCCGACAATAAAGGGATGAGCATCTAACTTATCCTTATCTACGCATGTAGAGAGAGAGGAATCTGGACAGAGTTACTGAGAGTTAAAACTCTGATGTTAGATTAAATAAGAAGTCTTCAATATCATACAGATTTAAAATAATAATAATAATAATAATAATAATAATAATGATGATGAATTTTATTTTAAAAAATGTATTTAAAAAAGACTCAATATAAAAAGACAATAAAAGAACAGTTCACAGGTTAAAAGCCAATTTAAAAAGGTGTGGTTTGAAACTAAGGGGGTCTGTACAGTCTCGGGTGGGTTTTGGGAGCTAATTCCATTTTACAGCCGAATATAGCTATTTTTTTTTTTTATTCATTATGGCCTTTTTTTACTCTTAACTCTGTGTTTGACTGGTTTTAGATTACGTTTTCTGTCATTTCTAAGGCTACATTGTCCTTTTTTGTGTTATTATTTAGAAAACGATTATACGTATAAACAGAACAATTGGGTCTGCAGCTGAGTAAATGTTTGAGAGTCTAATCTCAGTGCTGAGACTGTAACTGTGTAAGAAGAGATTAATATAAAAGTAATAGAATTTATTTATACGTTAAAAGTCTTTCTATAACTGTGCGTGGACCTGAAATAGAAAACTAACTCAAACTGTGTTTATAGAGTTTATTATTTTACCAGGAAAGCTTCACTCGGATCAAAAATCTATTTTAATAGAGTGTCCCAGACCAGGTTTTCAGAGGTATGTTCCAGATAGTGGGGTCTTCAAGAGTCTGTGATTCAGGTCAGGGGGGTCCTCCTCAGTCTGACCTGCAGGCCTCAGGGTTCTGGAGGCACACAGGTCCAGTAGAGACAAGCCAATACCCCCTCTGCATTTGATTCCTTTGTAAGAACGGTTTTCAGCAAAGTTTAGTTTTACTTTCTGAAAACATTTGAGTGTAGCGACAGATGGAACCATGAGGAGTAGAGGACTTTATGATACATTAGACAGGACTGCACTGAAAGACAAGGGTTCAAGTCACAGGTTCGACTGAGACGAGTCTGTACGTTAGTGAAAATCCCTGATTAAGTCAACAAGGATCGTTTTGTGAGTTTAAAAGAGTTTAAAAGACCCTCATAGTCTAAAGATCCTGAGAGGAATTTTTGGATTGTGCAGATTTGGCGCCCCCTCTGGACAGAATGATCTCTCTCTGCTGTAAATGAACAGTCTAATGAATCACTAATTATGAGTTTTGCTTCAGAAGAGGTTGTTTCTTCGCTCTTGCCAATCACCTCATCTCAAACCTGCCTCAGGTATCAGGTACAGACCTGAAGATCCGTCATTTCTAAAGATTAAATCTTGCTAAGCGTCTTGTTTGCTTTCAGCCTCATAAAGAGACATCCTGATTGATTTCAGCTTATTTTGGTGTCTTAAAAACTCCTTACAGCAGCTTTAAAGGAGGAGAAATGATGTCTTCAGGAGATATTGACTAAAAAGAGGAAGCCCCCACCTTCAAAATCTGTGTTTAGTTTCAGAGGCTTTTCTCCCTCACACCTGCTTGTGTTTGTTTCATTTGTCTCATCCCTAATTAAAATACTAATTTAAGCATCTTGTCATGATGGTTAGAAAACCTGCAGAAAATCCAGTCCTGCTGCAGCAGCTCTTCTCTCTGCAGTCTGAACCTGCTGCATGTTCATCCCTCCTGCACCTGTGCCAAGTTATTACAGAAGAGCCACAAATACAATTATGATAATGGGCTGCAGATAGTGGAGAGGATAATTGCATATATTTTGGATGAACATGACTTGACATCAGGAGTGGAGATCCGGCTCGCATCTGCTCTTCATCACTCGCTGTCCGCGTGGACGTGCGGCTTGAACTCTGACAAGTGATATGAGAACGATTTCACAATAAAAGCTTTTCAGTCAGGCTTCATCCCAGTCAGGACTTTAATTTTCTATCACTAAATCACTACTTTAAGACCAAAGAAATCCTCTTATTTGCTTGTTTGTGACCGTCACATCAGTAATATTTGTCCATGTCAACATTAAAAAGACCAAAACAACAACAACATGTCGGCGTCAGACGGCAGCTCCTCTTTACGCTCATCCCCAGATTGTTTCCTTCCATTCAGCATTCAAGGAAAAAGCCATTAGTCAATCCCGAGGAGGCAGGACGCCACGGCCGTGAGTTATGCTCTGCATCATTTTCCAGGATGGATTAGTGCGCCCCACTCCTCACTCTCCGTGTAACAGCCTGACACGCTGAAATATGTGACGAGTCTCCTTGTTTGACTCAGCAAAGTGAGGAGGTTGTCTGGAGCAGATAAGGATGAATATGTTGTCATTTGCTAATCATTTTAGCGTGGGTTTTATGAGGCTTTGACTGTCTTGGCAGAGGAAACATGATTTTATTGTTGCCAATAAATAAAAAAAAAACAGAATGTTCTTCTTCTTCTATATTTTGGATTGTAAAGAGCAGCAGCCTGTCAGATCTGTGTTCTTATCAAAGAGCAGACGTGCTGCACAACAGATGGTGGGCGTCTGCTTTTCCTGTTATTTCATTTACATCACAGGCATTTATTACCTTTTTATTTAAAGGTGGGGTCGGCAGGAACCCGTTAAAGAAGCATCTTTTTTTGTGGTGTATATAGGAAAAAGCTTTTAATATCAGTCAATAGTTATTAGTTATTGATGACAATTGGAAATATCATAATATCTCTGTGTTCTCTCTCTGATTGTAGACAAAGCCGTTCTCCACCTCCTCTAACCTGATTGGTTGTGAGGCAGACGCTGCTCCCCCGTGTCGTTCAGGAGCCCAAACAAAGTTAGCGTGCTACAATATCGGACAGTAGAAACCAACCAGAAAGTTTGGAAAATTGTCTGAATCCTCCTTTGGCCACGACTGCCGACACAAGCAAGAAAACAAAGTAAATACCGGAGACTCTGGAGGAATAACGGGCGCTTAAAACGGAGGTAGACCGGACAAGAGCTAAAAAGCCGGGTCAACATAAACCATGGGGGACGCTTGGGGATCTTGGTGACCCTGTAACCTTTCTGCTGGACAGGTAAACCGCTTTAACAAAGTAAGACAAGTGTCTGTAACAGAAGTGTTTCTTGTCAAACGGACCTGCTGTAGCGTGTTGTAGCGCCATCGCTAAACTGTCCTCCCTCGGGTCCTGGACTATGTCACTTTATCCTCGTTGTAGAAGTCCTGCAAACATTGTGTTTGCTGGTAGTCTGTTGGCATCTACAGTAGCACCAATGCTTTTGACTTTCACCTTGACTGGGCCCCATTTGTAATGATCTGAATTATCTGTTTGTGGGCGGGGCTTGCTGGAGCAGAGAGGAGGAGCTGAGGGGAAAACTGGTTGGGAGGGGTAGAGTTTACATTCAAGATTTCTCCCAAAAACCGGAACTAACTCAGATCCTGACTACCCTACCTTTTAATTATCACACATCAGTGTTGAATACTTGATTCTGATTGGTCCAAACCCCGAAACAACACGTCTGCAGTCTTGCACACGGGTTTACCTCTTCCTGTTGACGATGTGGCAAAAACAGTCAACCTCATTTCTCAGCTTTTTGTTTGTCTTTATCGATCAAACCTGTAAAACTCTCATGTTATTCAGCTGAGATGCATGAAACATGTTCGGTGGTTTACTTTTAAATCAGAGTTTAGTGACCTCCAGGAACAAATACTCGAGAAAACACGCAGCAGATAAGTAAAAATGGCGCTCAAGGTGAGCTAAGGTTTGAAGGGAATCATGTTTATATTCACATTTTCCCTGCAGCTCCAGTTTTGTATTGAGACTATATGAAATGCATTTTCCATGGCACACCTTCAATACGAGGTAAATAATGAGACGGGCTCCGGTTGGTTCGCTTTCTTATCTCGCCGGTCCAAAGAGGAGCGTTTCTGAAGGCCAAACAAAGCCGCCTCTTTGGGGAGAGGATGAGTCCTTGTTATAAAAACTTCAATGTAAACCTATACAGAAAGAAAAAAACAGTTTTAATACTGAAAGGATGCACAGGAAAGCACAGGGAAGCTGCTCATAAGTGAACATAAACCAACATTTGTTTTCTATCTTTATTGTTGGTGATTGCATCTCTCCAGGAAGGGAAGGAGACACGGCAGAACGGCGGTTATGAGGAGAAATAAACAAACGAGAGCAAATTTCTGCAAGACTACAAATGCCATGGTAACAGCACACACTGAGCGATTCTTCTCTGTCTGCAGACCGAGCACAGGTTTGGACTCAGCTGCATTCAGGAGGACTCCATCTCATCTGAAAAACACTTCAACACGCCGAACAAAAAACACCACATTTCCCTCCTTGTGTTTTGAAGCTGTAACTTGGATCCCAAAGGCATCAAACAGCGTTGTGTTTTTTTTCCTTCAGCGGCGGAGAATAATCTCAGCCCCCCCGGTGCTTTTATTGCTACTGTATCACTTTCAGAGCCACCTCGGAGCGAGGAGGGGGGTCTGCCTGCTTTTGTTCTGCGAGCTGTCGCCGCTGTGCGTCGTAGGTGAGGAATATGGGCGCTGACTTTGTCGAACAATCGTAACCCTGCGTCTGAATAAAGGCCAGACTTTCCTCTCTCTTCTGGGTCCTGTTCAAGCTCTTTACTTACAGCTGAAATATTGAGATGCTCTCTGCCAGAACTTAAAAGGAAAAACACTCAGGAGGGATTACTCAAACGGGGGCATGGCCATGACTACGAAATTGAATCGTTCCCCGCTGGGTTTATCTTTGCCAAATGCTATTTTTTATCGCGTTGAAATGAGCGGGGAACTAAACGGGGAGCGCGAACAAAGGAACAACACCTGCATGTGTGATTAGAAATCACTCACTGAGCCCTGGGAAGCCATGCTAATGTTCTCTCTGTGCCTTACTGTACCGACTGTGCAACCAACACTGCAACACATGCCGGCTCCACCTGCCGCCCCAGAGGCATCTGCGCTGATTCGAAGTGAGCTACTCAGTTTCTGTTTGTGATTCATGCAGAAATAATAATACAGTTTCAACCAGGAGGACTTTCACACAGCTGAGGTCTCTGCAGAGGTCGGCCAATCAGACGTCATGGAGTTGGTTTTGTAGAGACTCAGACCTGCCGGGTTTAGAAGGCCATCAGGAGACGCACACTGACATCAGAGCTCGACCAGAATCAGGCGTCATTAGTATTTCATGCAGTAACGCATTCTCACAGTAGCTGCATTTACATGGGCACAAATAATCGGAATAAATGCGCCATGTAAACATGTCGATCGGAAGATTACGATCCAATTTGGCTCAATTGGAGAGAAGTTGCATTATTCCGAAACGCGTCCATGTAAAGACTTATTCTGATCGACTCTCTAACCTGACTCGATCTTCTCTCTTTAGCCCTTTGCTTATTTATTGAGGTTTTTTATTATTAACACTCTGACCACAGGAGCCATGTCTGCTCCTCCGGTAACATATGGCGTCCATACAGCGTAACAAAGTCACATCCTCACGCAGCGCAATCTTTGACAGAACAGTCAAATAAGTACGCAGTTTGAGAGAGATTGCGCATGTCCAAATGCAATGCAATGCAATCCAAAATTTTGGACATGTAAACATGGCTCATGTCTAAGAAACACTTGTGTTGCATCATGCAAACAATCGCCACTGCTGTCGGTCATGCACAGTAGGCTATCTGGAGATCTGGAGACGTTCGTATGTTATTAATGCACCAACGATTGTCGCTGGTTTGCAAGATGTTACACAATTTGTGTTTGGTACAGCTGAGAAAGGCTGGTTAGTGCACGGTGTCCCCACCCAGCGAAAAGTGGTTGAAAAGACGTCTTCACCACACGTCTAAACAACGTCTAGATTCGGCCCGTCTAAATAAAGCCCAGTTTCAACGTCTTTTTTTAGGCTAAATTAGGACTGAATCGAACCGTTTAAACGAAGCCCAGTTTTCAACATCTTTGATAAACTTCAGAGGGACGTGCAAATTCTCTAAAAAACTCCAACATCTCAAACACGGCAAGAGGTCAAGCTCCCTGACTTCTTCCAAGCAAACAGCTGCAAACTATCGTCCTGTCACTCAAAGCAGCCACGCCCCTTTATTATGACCCACAACTCTAAACCCTCATATAAGTCGAATAACTTCGCCTGCACAGTGTCATGGCTGCAGGATTGAGCCACAGTGACCGAAAGTCTCCTCCTCCTACCATTTTAACTCAGTGTTGGAGCCTGATTCACTTTTTTGCACGTCTTAAAAACACTTTGTTGGTTTGATCCATCGTCGATAAAAGCATTTACATCTATTAACAGCTTTGGCTCTGACCTGAAAATGTGAAAACTGAGAAATCAACGTGATAACTGCTGCCGGTACCATCTCCCTGTGAGCGCCGTGGTGCTGTGAGGGAGGGAATCGGAGGTTTAAGCACGATCGGACAGGATGAATTTATAATCTTAATCACTCTTAGTGACCGTGACAAGCTAACAGTTATTAAAGCCGGCCTGGAGGCACTTCACTTTGCCTATAATGTCTTGTGAATGACAGTTAATGCCGACCCAGACAATCTTGTTAAAAAGCCTTTTAATCAGCCCAGCAATTAGGGAAAAAAGGCTCATCCATTCATTTCTCCGGCCTCTCTCAGAGATTTGAGTCCCCGCTAATTGAAACTAATTTTGAGTCAGGTGCCTGAGTATTATTAGGTTTTATAATATCAGCCTGCGTACACCTGTAGTTGAACTCAGAAGGACACTCTGTATTCAGGCAGGAAGAATAATCATTCAATTTCTCACACTACAACCCGCCCGCCTCTGTTCGCCGCTCTGCTTTTGTGGCGGTCCGTCTGCCTGGTAGACACTTGTCACAGCCCTGACTCAGAGTCCCCTCTCAGAAAAACACACCTGGCTGCTTTGTCACAGTGTCATTCAACAGGCATGAGAGAGCGAGACAGAGCGAGAGAGAGAGAGGTGAGGGAGAGTCGCTCCTGTGCTTCCATGCACCCTTTCTATTTGACTAGACTTTGGTGTGAAACCGCTCAATATTCTGGGTTCGGAGCGGCTGCTTTCCCAGATCAGTGGAGACTGAATACATTAAGTTGAGGTCCGTGTTCAGGCATGGTTGAAATGCAAATAATTCACGCCCCTGAAATCAAATCATTTCAGTACCTGCTGAACCCAAAAGAGAATATATTTTTCTTTTTTTCCAGCCGGTACACAGGTACCTGCCTGAAGCAATGAGAGGGAGCACAGTCATGTTCCACAGGAGAGTCACTCAAGTGCATATTCAGACTTTTTCTAACTTTGTCCTCTTTACTCACTCTGCTGGTGAACTTTGGCATCATAGCAGAGACACGAGTAAAGAAACATATAACCAAACCGCTGACTGAGAACGCTTCGTCTGCACCGAGAAGACGGGTTAGATCCTCGCTCTGTGGGCGACGTTCACGACTTCAGTGTGTTTGAACCAACGAACGTAAAAATGATGGAAAGGAGAAATCTGCAGAACTACAAATCCACATCCTGTCAGATTTCCACTGTAGCAGAGAAATGTTACAAATTAATCACTTTACTGAGATTATACTGCAGAAGGTTAGAAGACTAAAACACACAGTTACAGCTCGAGAGTGAGAGTTAAAGGAGGGACTCAGATTTTCATTTCACTGTACTTTTTCGTCCCGGCTCTGCTGTCTCTTTTTTATCGAGACTCCTCGTCCCTTGGGTCGTTCTCCTTCACTTTATGCTAATGTGTAGCGGGAGTTCCCTGAAGGTACAGTCTTTACAGACTTTAAGACATCTGTGAGTACAGCAGTACAGCAGAATCGCTCGTTCTGAACGAAAAACTGTTCCTGAAAAAGTGAAACGGTTGAATTAGTCGTTTGAGAGACTGAGGAAGTGGATGACAGGGAAGTACCTTCATTATGTGCACTTCCTCCAGTGACCAGCAGGGGTTGATTCCAGTATTTATCAGGTAACAAATCATTGAACAACAGTCCAATGATGGGGTGAAACACTAGACGATATAGTCGCCATATTTGTTTGCCTTCCCACGTGTCGCTACCCGATCCATCCCGGAAGCCCTATTTGTACCGCGCATGTGCGAAACGTTTGTCACTTCCCCTCTTCGTAATTTAATGAATTTTACGTCAGTGAGTCGTTACTATTGCTACCTACCTGATCCGTACTGCGCAGGTGCAAAATTACCTTATTTTAAAATCTTTATTTGAACTACCGATCGATTTCAGAAACAAGCCGACGATGTGACAGGTGAGCTAGCTGAAGGCTCCAGAGATAATGCCGAGGCATTCGCCAGAGCTCCTGCCCAGCATGGTGAGACCTTTTGGGCCACAGAGAGCGCCACCACCCGGTCAAAATTATGGTTCTCTGACTTTTCAAAGAATCAAGGGGGGATTTAATAACTTTAACTTTAACTTTAATTAAGAAGAAGCCTACATATTATGGACGATGAATTTCAGCATTTGTATACAGTCCTCGTTGGTGTTTGGCGGCTATTTCTTCCGGCCGGCGGACTCCGGCACCAAAACTTGGAATCTAAATTTTAAAATTTGAACCGTACCAGGAGAATCGGAATGCTAGTCCCGGTCCCCATCGATGCTTGAGACTCAATGCCCAACCTTAAGCAACACCACGCCCCAAAACATCCACCATAACTGGGCGTTGCTAATTGGACCAATCAAAACTCCAGCGTTATAAGTCACCTGAGGATATTTCCCAAACATGACACTGCAGTTAAAGGTGAGGTGTCATTATCTCTGAGGTTTGGAGTGAAAACAGCCTTTTTTTTCACAGATAAACAAGTGTTTTTCCTCCGATTGCTTCAGGTTGTGTGGAGCTTGATGGATCCCAGTAAACTTTGATGAGTTTTATTATATCTGTTGCTCGGATGGCTGGTGGAGAGATAAAACAGCTGGAGGTAAAACTGAAGGTGTTCATTGATGCAGCTCGTTATTTTTAATTAACCCTCACATCCATTTGTGTTTCGCCGGCTGGGCTCGGATTGTTTCCGCTCATCCACCTGCAGAGAAACGGCAGCTCTGTGTTCCAGTTTCTCATCATTAGGAGAAGGTATGAGATGATTTCCTGTTTGAACAAACTTGATGCGTCATTGGCGTTTAGATCACACCTTCAAACAACATGTTTGCACACTTTGGTGACTGTTTCTGGATGCCTGCGTGTCTCGGCTGCACAGAGCGACTTTTAGGCGTTTTAATCTGGCGTGTTTCTGCAGGAATCCGATGGGTTAAAACTGAGACGATGGAGACACACAAACACACACACAGACAGACTCACACACATAAACAGCGGTAATCAGCCGCTGCTGATGACTCGCCTGCCACTCCTCCCCCCAGGTTCCCGACATCATGAAAATTAATGTCCTGGCATCCATTTCTCTGGCACAGACGAGGGCTCAGAGGTGCAATCGGAGCGCTCCTGTGTTTTGATTCCGATTTTATTCCAACGTTTATATATTTATTTCTCTGTGTGTCCACATGTGCTGAGACTGACACGCAGAGAAACAAGGGTCTGCATGTGTGTGTGAGGAGGAGAAAGAGGGGAGGCGTAATCGTTCAACATGTCAGCGAGGTAATTTCATTTTTTCTCTGAGCCATCAAAAGTTTGTCATTTGGCAATCACACCGTGTCAGACTTCCTTCACCTCCTGAGGATTGCTCCATTTTAACATGCCGAACAAATATTGACGGGGGGACGAGGAGCAGGGCTCTGGAATAATAATGGAGTGCCCAAAGGCGGAGGGACTGTGTGCTCATGAGTGTTCCGGTGTGTTCATTTATAAATCTGTTAATTCAGACTAAATATAGAAAGACTCCAAATGTCAGGAACGCTTACCTTCATTTAATGAGCAACTGTGGGTAAAAACGAACGCTACCTCTCCTCCGTATTAACCTTGAAAAATGGATCTACAACCCTGGACATCGTAGGATTTCTCAGTCCCAGGATGCAAAATTGAAAAATCAACAATTTTATGTCTGAATCTCAAACGTAAATCTGTTTAGAGTTTAAAAATATGATATCTAAACTTGTTTTAAGACATTTTACAGTTCAAACCATCCAGACTGACTCACGACTGTCGCAGCAGTTATTCGCTAAAGACATAAGACTGAGTCCTCGGGTTATTTATCGGTGTGTTTTGAGTTTAATCTGGATCAGACCAATCAGAGTGTCTGCTATCATTCCCTTTAACAGTCAGGCTCTCCTGCAGACAGACAGACGGACGGATGACTATTTACACTGTGAGTTTCAGTATTTCTGCTGGATTAGACTCCAGGCAGCATGTTTCACTCCCTTTTTGTGGAGAACAAACAGCTCAATGCAAAGATTTATTTTTAGTGAAACATCCAAACTGCACAACAGAAACTCTCAGAGACTCTCCAGGTGAAATGAAATCAGAGAAAAAAGAGCTCTGTGTCTGATTTGACTGATTTCTCCTGCTGCTGTTTAACTTTATGTGCATAAAGGATAGTCTGCTCTTTATTAAGACCTGTGGAGTCCTGTCTGTGTGTGTTTTTGCATGTTTTGTAGGAAGTGTATGCCTAACAGACAGCTTTGAGTTTTGTACTGCGTGCATGATGGATAGTTTTCTCTTTATCACTATTTATGGGCACAACATCAAGAGTTATGTTTGAGGGTTGTGAGCGTGTGTTTGTTTCTGCATGTACCGGAGAGTGTGTGCAAGAGCATGAAAATAGAGTGCTACACGTCTCTGCATGTGTGTTTCAAGAGGAGAAATGCTTGTTTCTGTTTTGTCGAGATAGCAGCACCACCTTAGCGTCTCGTTTTAAGACGAATAAACAACACAAGCACTCGTAAGTTCACACGACATAGGCACAGGGCACAAAAATGAGTATACTGCATGAAGTAGAAAATAGCAATGACGCTCACACTGCACGCCAACCTGTTTGATAATAATATCCGTAATTTGAGTTCCTGCTGGAATATATGTCGACTAAATCCCACTGAGCAAAAGACGGATATTAGACGTCTAAGTGTTTTTTAGACCTAATTTCAACCGTGCCACGCTGCCGGTGAGGCACGAAAATAGAGCCCTTGGTCTTAACTTGGTCTAAATTCAGATGTCTAAAAAACTTTCATTTTTAGACCTGTGGTAGTCTGATTTAAGACCAGTCGTCTAGGCTACATTTAGACTTTTATTAGACCTCTTTTAGACCAAAAGAAGCTCAGTGGGATGTTCAAGTAGAAAAATGCATAAAAATAGACCTCTGCAAGAATCTGTGAGATCCCAGACTCGTCATTTCGCTCCATGATGTTCAGCATTTTGCAAAAATGTTGAAGTCTGAGGTTACTCTGGTGTTTTCACTATCTGACCTTACTGACCCATACTTACTGTCATTTCTTTGCCTACACTTGGATAAGTACACAATAGTTTTGGATAAATATGGACACGGTGTACAACAAGAGCTGCACACAAGGAAAATAACACATCAGCAGTCATTCAGCGAACGCCTGCCTCTCTTTGACGCCATCTTCCCGTGACAACCTGCTGCCTGCTGGGCTGGGTGTCGACAGCACTAATCTGCTGCAGCAAATATATCACTTCCACTTCCTCTGACCTCTGTTGTATGATACACACACATATGTGTATTCTGCATGGAAACATTCACACCCTCACACATGCAGTCGTACTCAGTCACTCGCACAGCTGCCGTAGCCGGATGCTGCTAATTGGCCAAAAGAGGCTCAAGAGTTCAGATGCACCTCAAACATGCTGAGAAGTTTTTATCTTTAATGCAAAAGGAGGAAGAGAAAATGAAAACAAGCAAAGAAAACATACAGGTTTAAAGCCACAGATCACCTTAAAGGTCCCGCGGCGTCTTACAGCCGAGGGATCCCTCTCTCAATTTGGCTGACTCGTACAAACACAGGTATGAGGTGAACCATATTGAACCGAGTAAAGTAAAGGTCAGGCGGTGTGTGGCGTGCGCGCAGAAGAAAGAAAGCCCACCTTCAACCTTCCTTCCAGCTTGTTATGCATCAATTTTTATTCTACAAACACCCCCCCTCCCCTGACAGTTGACCTTATCTGCGGGCCCTGAAATATGGCCGTCACAGCGCTTGATCGAAGGAGAATTCATCTTCTGAGCTGTACTGTAATATGTTGAGTTAATTCACAGCTAAATGTCAGGTGAAATACTGGTCAGGGTTTTTTTCCTCCCCTCCGTCGGTGTTCTAAACATATCACTGATTTTAATAACGCCGCCTTGTCTCACACCAATTGTTCGGCTGATTTGCAGCTTGTAAAATGTCATTCAGCTCCTCGGCTCGTCTATAGAGACTGTTTATAATCTCCGATGTGAGCATGCGGCACAAGGCTACGTACACAAACACCTGCTGATACTGCAGTCGAACCCTTTCACCGCGTGTGACGACTTTATCCGAGGATGGTTTTCAGGCTGTTGTGCGGTTTCCTTCACATCAATAAATCATCGTCGGCTCATCATCAGGACTTTTCAGCTTCATTTATTTATCAGTGTTGCCAGAGGGCGAATCTGAGCGCTTCAGTAATGTCACACAATATCAAGTAAAGGTTCTGCAGTGTAGGTCACAGCCGGTCTTTGGGCGTAACCTTCATTTGATTAATGGCCTCATTACTTCGAGTTCAAATTGGGGAAAACTCGTAACTTGGAAGAGGAAGTAAGACTGTTTGCTGTGTGGTCTTTCTGTTTGAGACCTCGAAGATTTACAGCTGTACTGAAAGACTTGAACTCTTCTTACAGAAACTGAAAGAGGTTTTGTCAGCGCTTCTGTCTACTCTTTCATTTAAGCTTGTAAAACTGTCGGACTACGGCGCTGGGTGTTAACGTTTAACCAAAAATCAAACTAAATCAGGGAAACGAGAAAATTAGAGGCAGCAGGATGGACCCAGAGCTGTACTACATCAAACAAGAGCTAACCTGAGCATCCAGTCTCTTCTTAGTTCGTCGCCATGGACGCCATATTGGAAACGCCGACTCAACCGAACTTTTAATCAAACCAGAAAAAGAGACAGAAGTAGTAAACAGTCACAACAGGCCGGCCTAAAAATCTACTCAAACCTGCTAATGCTAATTATGCTAATTATGCTAATTATGCGAATGCTTTCACAGTCCTCAGTATAGATATCTTCAAAACAGATTTCATTTCAGCTTTTATGTTAGTGGGCAGTACCTGATTTCTGCAGCCATTAACTCTGTATGTAAGATCTTGGGTGTTTTATCTATTTGTCATAGAGTATTATGTATATATAGTGTATTGTTTCTATGTTTTTAAACATCTGCCATAGGACAACAGATTTAAATTAGCATTTATGCTAACTCCGGCATATTTACATTGATGCGATGCTTTTGCTGACATGTCAATTATTGTGCATTCTCCTAATCAAATAAATAAAAAACAGTCCAAAGTTATTAAGTTAACTTAAGAAATGTTCATTTTAGGACAGTCACCCCTTCATAACAGCACTGTGTGTGTCTGTTTGTGTGTGCATCCTGTTGTCTATGTCTGCGGACGTAAATTCATCTTTTTCCCAGATACCAGAGAAGACCTCTGTCTCTGTTCTGCATCCACGTCCTCTGAGTAATCACAGTCATCTCTTAGTGTACTGTTGCTCCTGGACTAAGGCGTGTTTATCTGCTTGTTGCAGGTCTCAGTTTCACTGTAAATAGGAAGTTCTTCAAAGGCCTCACATTGACTATCAGCCAATGTTAAAGAGTTACACATCACACTGCATTTAAGGCAGTGGTTCCCAAACTTTTTCTACCGGGCCCCCTTTGGCAGATAAAAACACCTGACTGTACACATCAACATGTAAATGAAAAATATGTGAATGTACAAAAAAAACACCGTCTGTCACAAGCTACTGTTGTTTTTCCAATTTACTTCAATGAAACTTCAAACTTTTGGAGATAAAACAACAGCACTACCTTTTTACCATTTTTAAAAATTCTGCATTTCTGAAGATGAACAGTTTGAAAACTTAGGGAACATTTTTAAAATATATTCTTTCAGAACTAAAATAAGTCAGTGGCGATGGTGCGCTTGTTTAGTGCCACAGATCTTGGGTGCAGCTGTGAGACCGCCACTCTCAATTCATTTTCAGTGTCCAGGTCTTGATGTAGTGTTGTAGTCGCCCTTGCGTTTTCCCAGAGGTCCGCTGATGTTTACCATGGTTAGCGGTGCGACACAACGTGCGTTACTTTTATTTAGCCTTGTCGCGCCCCCCCCCCCCCCCCTGCAATCATGCCGCGCCCCGCCTTTGGGAACCACTGATTTAAGGAGACTTTAAACGACAGGAAAGTCAAATGAGAAGACTGCTGAACAGTTTAACTTCTTTTGCAGACTAATCTGTTGGTTTGAGACACCTCTGCCTAAAATGAAGGGGGTGTATCAAGCTGCAGTAGACAGTCTGGGGTCTCGACTTTATTCTTCAGAGACCGAAGAAATGTTGGAAGAAGACAGCGAGGAAATCTTAGATGAATCTTTCTCTCTCTAAACTGGACAGCTGAATCTGTCAGAAACCACAGAGAACACACACAGAGAACCGCCTCCTGTATGTTGTCGTTGGAGCCCGTTAGGTTATTTGGCGTGATGCAGACGCCAGAGGACAAAGAGGAATCTTGGCGTTTGGGCAAAGTGTGTAATTGATGCTCGACAGACAATACGAGAGCGAGGCGGGAAACTTGGGCGCGCGGGGATGGTTTCCAGATGACAAACATTTGCTTTTATCATCCTCTGCTGTCAGCGAATTTGCTGCATCTCTGACGGTTCGGGGTTAGCGGGGTTAACAAGCTGCTCCACTTGACTTGAGATCTAAGTCGAGACAGATGCATCCTGATGTGTTGCGTTCAGGGTAGGTGACTCTGCAGATCGTTGCGGAGCTCTCTGAAGCTTTGACGCATGAGATTTATATGTCAGAAGGAACCAAACAGATATATGACCTATCCAAGTAAACACAGAAGCTCTCCATGTTATAGTTCAAGTCATTAATTATTCAGACATACTCTTTGTGTGTCTTTAATAAAACTATAACTAAAGGTTAACTTCAGCAGGATGCATCATCTCATGCTCGCTGGCATTTAGCCGCATTAAAAGCTCATTTTATCTTCATAAAACACATGATTGAAAAATGACTTTTCCTCTCAGCCTCCAACCAGCAGACCTCCATCACCTCCACCGCAGGGAACAATAGACGGTATCTCCCATCGTCTCTTTTTCCTCATCCATATTGAATCTGCTTGGATCAGCTTCTGGTGAGGAACCATCAGGGTTAATTAGCGCCGAAGTGAGAGGAGGAGGAGGAGGAGGAGGAGACGCTCTTCTTCTTCTTCTCTGTGTGAGATATCTTTATTCATGGGGGCTTAGCTTTGACTGGCATGGCCTCAAGACATCCCAACTTCTCTCCTCGGGAGGCCGGCCAGATGTTATTGATATTCACAAATAGCTGGAATTTGCATCTTGATGTTCCAGAAGGGAGGAGACCGAGTAGGCGGGAGGACTTGTGCTGCATAAACAAAATCATGTTGTGGGTAGAGGTTTGCATGTGTCATCTTTAAAATACAGACTCTGCTTTTCATTTTTTAACTCGGTCCATCAGTTTTAATCGTCTAACTCTTGATTTAGTCAGAGAAGAGCGACATGTTTGAAAAGTTCAGACTTGGGCGCAGAATCGACCCGTAATTAAGACCTGTAAAATGCTGAGACCTGAATTTGGTGGTTTGCAAATAATCCAACATTTAATGCAAGTGGTGCAAAGACAACATTCTGTAAAAGGTAAAGTCCAAGTCCGCAACCTGACCCTGAATAGCGGTTGAAGATGGATGGATGGATTAAAGTCCGAGTCCATCCTCTTCCCTCTGCTTATCCAGGATCTGGTTGCGGGGGCGGCGGTCTATGTAAGTCCACCCAGACACCCTTTGACCCGACTCTTCCACTGGGATCTGAGACATTCCTATGCGAGTCAGGCAGGAAATATAATTTCTCTAACCCTAGATCTCCTTCTGATTGGACGTGCCCGGTAGACCTCGAAGGCTGAGCCCAGGTACCTTTTGCAGAATACTTGTATCCGCAACCTCACCTTACTTTACCTCACCGAGGCCAACTCTAGAGCCTGACCAGCAACGTTTTAGGGTTTTTTCTCCATAAGAAACGATGTGGAGCCACCACCCCCTGCAGGAACATGCATAGGGGTCAAGTGCACAGGAAGCAAAGGTCGTGGGATCAGGTGTCCCGTTCTCCTGGTGACAAAAGTAAACAGACCAGCTGACCTGGCAGAGCTTTCTCCACCGCTCGAAGGATGACCCAATGTTTATTCCAGTTAGATTCCTTGCTTAGTCATATTTCCTCTTGCTTCCTCTTTTGGCGGTGGGGTAAGCAGAAGTAGGGTTTTTTTTGCGTCCTTCTCCATCACAGCTCCTGTAGCTAAGATGCTCCGAGGAGGGCTGGGAGAGTGGGAGGGGACGAGTCGAAACTACGAGAGAGGGGTGTGTCGAGTACAGCGAGGTGGCTGGATAGAGAGGCAGAGCAGGAGATTGACCAATAGGAGCTGTTCGGGACAGATGGCTCCCATTGGTCAATGTTTTTGCAGCTCTGCACCTGCTAGGGTGAACAGATTCTTTCCGATCTTTTTTCTCTTCACTGTGTGGAGATCGCACTATAGGACCATGATCGCCATAGAACAATTATAATGAACAAGGTTCATTATAATTACCAATCTGTCCAATCGTCAACCATGTCTTTAAACTTCATTTTTAACAGTCCAGCTCTCCTTCAACATCTCTTTCCTTCTGTTGGATATTTTGGGTCTGGTGGTTGGTGGTGGTGATGATGATGCAGCGGTGGTCTGCAGAGCTTGTGTGGTGAAGAATAGTCCATTATGCATGTTTGCCGTCTCCACAGCCCAGCTTTCATCGTCACATTTGCTTTCTCTTAGCCCCGTTTGTTTTTGTTGTCTCTCTTGGCCGGGCAGAAAATCCACAGTGTACGCAGCTGTGGACTGCGGTTGTATGGATGACGAATAATGATCCACCAAACTGTACACAGAGGTTTTGCAGAGCAATCGTCTTGATGGAAACGATGAGGAGAGGGAGAGGAACACACAGGATGTCTAATAAGCCAAACTCCCAGCTGATCAGAGGCAGTCATCCGGATTAATGAGCGATGGATTGACAAAGAGCTCCGTCTGGATGCTGTAATGTCATCCCAATCAGTGGCCTGGAAAGAAGAGCTCCAAGACAGGCAGGAGGATAGAGATATTATCTCTGAGTGTACCTGGGTTTGACTCAAGTTTATTCCCACAGACGGCTCACCATGAGGCCAAACCATCAGGGACAGCACAGCCTGGTTAGCTGATAAAGCGCTGTTAGAAACTGTCAAAACTAGAAGTGCAGAGGATATATAAAGCCTAAACTGATGGGAAAATTAATGACAAAGTTTAAAATAAAGATGATAGATATTTAGATGACAGGTTTGATGTTCTTCAGAGTTTAAAAACGATTCTTGCTAACTCGGTTTTTAATTGTAAAGTCTGGATTTGAGATAAACTGGTTCAGTCTTCTCTGAGATCTGCTGTAAACGTCACCCCGTCACTCCTTTCCTTCCACTTTTGTGACTTGACTAATTCACCGACGTTAAATCCAAGCTGATCGATTTCTCTATGCTTGTGATTGGAAGCCCTTTTCTTTTTATTTTTATCATAATTCAAATGAAAATAGATTAACAGATCTCTGTGGCCCAGGGAATGTGCACAATAGGTGTCCACACACCTCCAGAGCATCCCCCCTTGATACTGTGAAAAGTCAGAGAACCATAATTCTGACCGGGTGGCGGCGCTCTCTGTGGCCCAAAAGGTCTCACCGTGCTGGGCAGGAGCTCTGGAGCCTCCTGCTAACTAGATTGTCACATAGTTTAAACAAAGTTTTTAAGGTGAAGTAAATTTGCACTTGCACAGTATGGATAGCAACAGGTGGACATGAAAATGAAAAAGAAATTGCCCGTTTTCTTTCTTTTTTTAATTGTGTCCACCTCGTCCTTTGGCGGCCACGAGGTCTCCTCCCGGTGGGACATGTCTGGAACACCTCTAACGGGAGGCATCCAGAAGGCGTCCTAACCAGATGCCCGAGGAGGAGCAGCGGTTCTACTCTGAGCGCCTCCCGAGTGTCCGAGCTCCTTACCCTATCTCTAAGGCTGAGCCCGGACACCCTGAGGAGGAAACCCATTTCGGCCGCTTGTATCTGCGATCTTGTTCTTTCAGTCATTACCCAAAGTTCATGACCATAGGTGAGGTATCTGAGCTGTGAAAGGCCTGATAGTCCCCATATTTACCAGTGCACACAGGAGAGGACTTTGCTGCTTGAAAATGGACCTCCACCTTTGCAGGAAAAATCTAAAGCCTGTCCTGAATGAAAGCAGGATGAGTTTAGAGATTAGATGTCTGTAAGTTCACTCAAAATGGGATATCTGGTGTTTTTTATCTCCTGGACAAAGATGGCGGATGATCCTTTGACTTTCTCTGATAACAGAGATCACCTGAGAGCGTCCTCAGACCATAACGAGGATAAAGGGAGCGTGAATATGAAAATGTGGCCTCCAGTCGACACCTTCACGCAGAGGTGCCCCCTTGACCTGCATACCAACTCTTAAAAACACACACACAAATACACACACACACCCCTTAGTGCAGCCCACCTCCCCGGGCTCTGAAACCCAAAGCAGCTGGTCATCCATCTGGGGCTCATCAGTTGCCCTGGAGAGTAAAAGCAGGCCCCACTGTGGCAGCCCGGGCATCCGTTCTGCATTATCACCACCACCACCGACCCCCCCACCCCCGTTTCCACTGCCATGCTAGCACCCACTACCCCCCCCTCCACTGCAGACCCAAAGCCACAGCAAAGCGCCCTGTTTCGCTCCGTCCTTCAAACGAAAAGGCTCTCTGCGTAACTTTTCATCCGAGCCGAAACTCTAAGATGCAAAGCGTGCAAGAGCGCGAGCGTAATGAGAGCGGCGGTTGACATCAGGCGGGATCCATAGACAAAACACGGGGGGCCCGGAGTCTGTACGAGCGATTAATGATAGTGATCATGTGTAAGTTTCCCTTTCTGGAGACGCTCAATAAGACTGAACATGAGAATATTCGAGTTTTGTTTTTGGAGAAATGTGTTTTTGGAGCTGGTCAGAAGATCTTACAGCAAACCAGAGACAGAGAGTTTCAGCTGGTCCACAACCAGAACCTTACTGTTAGATGAAGAGGTTTTATGGTTTTACTTACGGTTCCTCAAAACAGAGAGAGGAGCTTATCCAGGTGTCTGCAATCAGGGTGAGATGTTTACTCGCACAAACACAAAATAAGGACGCTTGAAAAATAATTTCAAGAAATAATCAAAACCAAGATCCTCTCATCCTCCTCAAAGTGTTTGGAAAGGTCCAGTATTCCACAGTGGACTTCTTTCCTCTGTAACACTTTAAGATCTTTTATCTAATTTGATTTAATTTATGAGACAAACACAAATTAACGTTCCAGCTGCAGGACCAGACAAAAAATCGGACCCGTGGCTGCAAACCCAACATGCACGGACTCTGTGCCCATACATACCTGTCTTTTAAGCGAACATAAACAGTGCTGGAGCGCGGTGAGAGCTTTCATTCCCGACATGAAGCACCAAAATAAAACCAAAACACAAGTCAGTGACCTGAGCTGGAATTAAATAAAGTCTATAATTTGTTAAGTGCCTAAAAAAGCCTGAATTATGAGTGAAAGTGCATCTTTGAGCTGATTAAACAAGAGGGCACACTGTTGGACCTTGGCAGCTGGCACCTGACGATCAATGAAGTGGGCTTTCATTGAGTAAACAACTTCTAATCAAAACACCCGAGTCTGAAACCGTGTGGAGGTTTTGGGTCCGGGGCTTGGCGGACTTCACCTCATTGCAGGCCAGGAATGTATTCTCCCTTCTTATTTTCTTGGTTCTGCATGACTTCCTTTGATATACAGCCCATCTGGATGTCGAGGGAAATACTCAAACACAAACCCAACTCCTACACATGCCCGGAGTCAGAAACCACATGTTCTGACGCTGCTGGACCTCCGCGGAAAGTAAGCTGTGCTAATTGTTAGTGATTGAGGGGTTAAAGACGAGAAGGGAGCTGGACACTTCTCAAAGCTCTTACTTTAATTCCAGAACCATAAAAAGCTTGAAAAATGTTTTCAAAGATGGAGACTCGAAGGAAAAAGCTCTATGAGGAAGTTTAATTTTCAGGGCCATAAATCACGCGGACTCTGGAGGATATAAATAATACTCGATATGTGCCTCTTTCATAAATTGTGGTTGTGGTCGTGTGGGGCTTATTGGACCTGATGGTGTTTACGGCCTCGGATCGCTCCGGTTGTGTTGGCGCTGAGAAGAAAAAGAAACACCAATTCAGGTGACCTCAGATGTTCCTCAAACTGCAAATCCAGAAAACGAAACTCTGGTGAATCTTCTTAAAACCACTTAAAGGTGGTGTAGTCAGGATCTGAGTTAGTTCCAGTTTTTAGGAGAAATCTTAAAAAGTAAACTCTACCCCTCCAAACCAGTTTTCCCCTCAGCTCCTCCTCTCCCCTCAAGCCCCGCCCACAAACAGATGCTCCTGCTCGCTCGTATCGTTCCAGTTAAATTCAGATATAATGCAGATAAATACTTCAGATCATTACAAATGGAGCCCAGTCAAGGTGAAAGTCAAAAGCATTGGTGCTACTGTAGATGCCAACAGACTACCAGCAAACACAATGTTTGCAGGACTTCTACAACTAGGATAAAGTCACATAGTCCAGGACCCGAGGGAGGACAGTTTAGCGATGGCGCTACAACACGCTACAGCAGGTCCGTTTGACAAGAAACACTTCTGTTACAGACACTTGTCTTACTTTGTTAAAGCGGTTTACCTGTCCAGCAGAAAGGTTACAGGGTCACCAAGATCCCCAAGCGTCCCCCATCGTTTATGTTGACCCGGCTTTTTAGCTCTTGTCCGGTCTACCTCCGTTTTAAGCACCCGTTATTCCTCCAGAGTCTCCGGTATTTATTGTATTTTTCAAACTATGAGGCGCACTTAAAATCCTTAAATTTTCTCAAAAATCAGCAGCGCTCCTCGTATAATTACTTGTTGTGCTTACTGACCAGTTTCATGTGGTACAATGCGTTAAAAAATCTGTCGAAATGTGTAAGTACGATTTAGGTAAGCGATAAAGCTGCTCCGCTCTATGGATATTCGGAGCATTACGATGACTGTTGTCTGAGCTGGAATCATCTCTGAACAGCCAAGTACCGCTAACACAAACAAGACTGACATGGATAATGACGAGAGGGACCCGGGCGTGCTTGATGCTAAAATCGTACAGCTGTTTAACTCCGACACTCAAGATGAAGAATTTTATTCGATGGATTTGTGGAAGAGGAATGAATCAATAAGTGAGCGTTTTTTTCTGTACTGGAATTTGTTGTTACAACTAAGTTATATAAAGTTTGATTTAACGAAGTGTGGTGTTTTGCTTAATGCGCCTTACAATCAGGTGTGCCTTATGGCCCGAAAAATACGGTACTTTGTTTTGTTGCTTGTGTTTTCAGAACTTTCTGGTTGGTTTCTACTGTCCGATGTTGTAGCACGCAAACTTGATTTGAGGCAGCATCTGCCTCACAACCAATCAGGTCGGGGAGACGGAGAACGGCTTTGTTTACAGTCAGAGAGAGTAGGTGGCTCAAAAAAATGTTCAAATGTTGACGACACAGACATAACAAAACAGAGATATCGTTATATTACCAAATGTCATCAATAACTAATAATTATTGACTGATATTAAAAGTTTTTTGGGGTTTTAAGCCAGAAGTGACCGGTCTGGTGGAGTCAGGTAGACCCCCAGACTCTTGAGTCTCTGAGTCTCAGTGTGTCACAGAAACTCAGAGTGGGTTTGTGGAGCCTGCTCCTGACCTGCAGCCGTCACCTCTCAGCTCTAATGTCTGTAAATGTGTCTGCTAGCCATTAGAGGGGACTTGGCCTGGAGCATCAGAGGTATTAGGTAATAGACGGGGAATTTATTTAGCACTTTTCCAAAAAGAGATTCGTCCCAGGGTGAGTGACACAACGGCTTATTGGCCTGGAGAAACTATTGTGTTGCTGGAAGGTCATTAGTTTAAATCCCACATCAGCCATCTGTGATATCCATCTCTGCACAGGAACAGAGCTGCAGCGGCTCGGATACTCCGCTTTCTTCTGGGTATTTACAGGAAATTCAGAGATCTTAAACCCAGGACCTCTTTTACTTTGCATGCTCGGGGGTTTTATTGTCGAACGGTTCAGAGAAGTCATGGAGTTAGTCGTCTACTCTTACCCCTTACCCTTTATTTTTTGTATCGCACAGCTTTGGCATTTTAAAAGGTGACAGAAGAAAACCCACAGATTGTCTAACCAGTTCATGCGGCAGTAGATCAGGAACCCTTGTTGGTCTGAAGGGTAAAAGTCGTGTTTTGCTACAGAGATACTCGCTCCCATCTGTTGCTTCGAGCCGCTCCACTCTGATATTGGAGTGAACTCAGCCGGCTCGTCCTGCTCCTCTCCTTCATTTCGCCTCTGATGTAAATTGTGTTTCTTGTTATACTTCAGCAACACAAATAAACTCGCCCGCTCCCGGCCTGATTCATCTCTCACACACGAGTGCTTGTTTTGTGGTTTTTCCAGGTTCGGCCATGCACAATTTAGACCCCGCACCAGTGAGAAAAAAGCAGAGCAATAACAAAAACCTTCTCCTCTCCTTTAGTTTGCCTGACCTTTTCTCTTTTTCTTCGTTATTTGGAGGGACTGCAGATGCTTACAAAGCTGCTGCGTGTCTGAGTGATTTTAAAACAGAAGACACACAATATTTACGCACAACCAGAGACGACATGAGAGCTGGGTTTGCTCTGAGGAAGAGTGTTGGATAAATTAGAGTTTAAAAAAAGATGCCCGTCTGTTTTCCTGTCAGGGCGACGATGGCACCCCGTGAAGAAACTCGCTAATGAAATTTGCAGCTTCAGAAAACAATTTTCACTTCTGAAAACGACTTGGACTGACAGCGTTTGAGGTCTCCAGAAACTGTTTTTCCCACATTTTGATGAAGAAAAATTGGTTTAATGTAATTTACACTTGGCTCGTGTGCGTGTGTGTGTGTGTGTGTGTGTGTGTGTGTGTGTGTGTGTGTGTGTGTGTGTGTGTGTGTGTGTGTATGTGTGTGTGTTTTTGACAAGTGAGTGATAATTCGGAGCTTCTTGTTACTCAAAAACATGAAGAAGAAAGAAGTCAGGCAGCACAAGCGTTATTGGGGTTTTTATATTTGTTTTTTATGTTATTTTGACTTTATTTTGACTCTGAAACCTACTTGCCATGGTAAACTACTTTTATACAGCTCAGTTTCTCTTTTACTCTTTCTAAACTTTGATTTGATCACCCTGTAGTGAAAGACTGATTTCAAATCTCTCATTTTGATGTAAAATTTATTATAAAAAAGTCGTTTTTAATTCAGTTTAAAACCTTTTTGGACTCAAACACAAAATCAGAAATGCTGGAAAACATCAAACCCACGCCACGGTTACCTCCTGACCTGAGAGCTGTTTTCGATCAACACTTTATTTTAAATAGATTAAGAATAAGAATGACTTTATTTATCCCTGAAGGGAAATTCACTCGTCTGTGGTCTCATTTGTCATGTCTAAAACGTCATCTACTATTTATAAATATTAAGTATATTGAGTCAGCATGTTGGCCTGTCTGGACTTCTTTTAAACTGGTTTCTCTCAACGTTGTGAGGTGACCTGTGGGGTACCTCAGGGATCAATTTTAGGACCTTTACTTTTTCATTTTATGGCCGGTTTTATCAGGAGACTCTACGGTTACACTGACGACACTCAGATTTATGTTTCTTTTTGATTTTAAAGCTCGTTTACTCGTATATGAGGCACCGCATGGCCTTGCTCCAGACTACGTCTCAGAGAGGTCTTTAGTTAATGAACCAGGACGTCCTCTCAGATCTTACAGCTAATGTCTTTAAACTTCTCCACAGCGCAGAACTGTTATCAAGACTTTTCCGTTTTAATTACTTTTAACTAAAAATATTTTGTTATTTTTGGATCTCTATCTGACTTTTTACTCTTTCTTCTCATGCTTTAATTGCATGTATTTTATTGCTACCGGCATGTTGTCCCCACTACTGAATCTATTTCTTTTTTTGTCAGTTTGTGTTTCATTTTTCATTTTTATTTTCATCCTATTTTCATGGTTTTTGAATCACGGTCAAGTTCCTTAAACTGCTTTTAATTTGTATGAAAGGTGCGACATAAATAAACCTTTGATTGCTATAAAGAGCAGCTTTACTCGTGAATGTTTCAGAGAAAAATCACAGACACTCTTTGATCAAGCATTTTGATTGAAAGACAAAAACTAAGGACGGTAATTTGATCATAATCAGTCAGTTTTTTAAAGCATTTTACTTATTTATCTTTATTTTTTGGCCAAGCCTTTTTTAAATCTTGTTTTTCATGATCAAAAAATGTTTTCTTGGACAATAACCTTGGTCAGTCCCGGGCGGATGTCATTCTTACAGGGAGAGACCACCAACACGATACGAAGGTCAGGGAAAGACATCCTACTCACATGAGGTGGTGAATTGTTTATGTGGGACATTAAAAATGACTTTAGAGAAAAGGCTGGGCCTCTGCATGAAGACTTCATCATCCATCATGTTCTGAGCGATGATCTTCAGAGGAGAAACCGTCCCAGAATAAATAGATTCAAAGAAGAGAGGAGTTTGGCAGGAGACGGATGTGGTTAGGAAAGCACAAAACTCCTCTCTCCTCGTTCTCTATATCTCTATCTCTCTTCTCTTCCTCCCTCTCTCTTTCTCTCCGTTCACCCTCCTCGCTTCAGACGTTGATTTATGACTGCACGCAGTGTGCTTCCTCCTCTGAAATTGGCTGGATATGTATGTCAAACAGCACAATTAGACGAGCGTGACCTTAACTGTCTGTGACCTGAACGTCCTAAATGCAGCGTGCAGTTGTGTTCTGTTTGACCTGTTTGGAAATTAAATTCAGGGTGGCTGAGTCAAACAGCATTACTCCATTGTGCTGCCTGTATATGCAGAAAGGCCACAGGGTACCTCTGAGGTGACGGCGCGGGTTTTTATAAAGGAGCGAATTATAAGAGTTTAATGCGTCTCAAAAGGGGAATTATGCAAAGTTTGTTTGGATCAGAGTCGGTTTGTTGAAAGCTTTTGCATGCAGTTAAACAGTCGTATTCATGTTTAAATGCACAAAAGTAAAAACAACATTTTAAGTTCATGGAAACATGGACCAGCTAAAGAGTCCCATACTGAAGGTGAACCAAACATGAGTCTGGTTCTGCTCAGGGTTTCTGCCTTTGAGATATTTCACGAAAGTTCTGGAATCCTCTAACTCGTCAGTAAACAGAGCTGACATGGTTAATGCGTTCTGGTTTTACCCGGAGCAGCCTCGACCGCGGTGACCCGGCTGGTGTCATGTTTACGCCCTCGTCACTCCTCGCTGCCTCTTTATAGGACTCTGAGACTCTCCAGACTTTATCGCCGCTCTTTAATTCCACATCAGAGTTAACGGCTCCTTCCTTAATCTTCCTAGAGGACAGTCGGCCATCTTGTTTGTGCTTGACTTTGGAGATGTCCTTTATACCTGTCTCTACCTGTCTCTACCTGCACTTCATCACCGAGATAAATATTATACAGCTGTGTCTGTTTTTTCTGTCTGTCCTTTAAACTGAAGTATATCTCTGAATTCATTTATCAATCAAATAAAGAAAAAACGTGTTTATTTCTGCTGTAAAGATGGACATTTTCAAGGTGCCTGCAGTTTTCAGCTTGATTTGGTTTCTTAAGTCTGTTTTTTTTGTTTGTTTGTTTGATGTTTGCATCTGCTGTGTCGATCAAGCTAGTTCTAGTACTAGCCTAGCTTAGCATCAGCTCCCTCTCCAGTTTGTGTTGGTGCTAAATGAGGCTACAGCCAGCCTCTAGTGGACACTTGAGGAACTGCAGTTTTCAGCTTTATTCGACTTTTTAAGTCCGTTTTTTTGTTTGTTTGTTTGTTTGATGTTTTCATCTACTGTGTCGATCAAGCTAGTTCTTACACTAGCCTAGTTTTTGTGAAATTAAATAAGTGGTTTATGTTGTAATGTCCAATGTCTAACTGTGAACACGCTGCTATGGTGTTTGTAGAGTAAAATACTGTGTTATGTGTTGTTTACAACTGCAGCTGACAACCGCTAACGACAACTAACAAGTGTTAACAACGGCTGACTGTAGGCGTCCATCCAACTTGTTTACTGGAACGCCGTCAACTCGGGTGTATATAGTATTTATTACCCAGCATGCAAAAGTTCATGAAACTGACATATCTACAATAAAAGTTTAACAGAAGAGAACTTACGCCCCCCTCGTCGTAAAGCTGCAGAACTTAATGTTCTTTAACTAGATGTCACTCGTCTCCCGTATGCAGCTTCATTACAGTGACATGAGTTCACACGGAGGTGAGTGGTGGGCGGGCTGAGGAGCGCGGGGACCTCACTGAGCGCTCCGTGTCTCCTCACGCTGCATGTCACCGTGAGTGGAGGAGCGGCGGCAGAGCGGATTAGAGGATGGAGGAAAAGAGAAAACAAAGAAAATAGCTTTTTATGCTAATACGGAGAGATAGAGGATAGACCCTGATGATGGTGTTTGTTTGACCCTGATGGAGAAAAACAGAGCGGCGGCTTAAATGAGCACGCTCACGGAAACATGTGACACTCTGATAATAGACCTTATTACATACAGAAGGACTTTTTTATCCTCCTGTATTTTTCTTTTCTAAAAATCTGTCCAGAATTCACAATGATTCGGATTCGGAAACAAAATCATTTGCATCTACTTTAATGAAGACATGCAGACAGATTTAATCAGCGTAGATAAGCTCCTCCTCCTCCTCACTCTTGGTCATTTTCCACTCCTTCACTCCGCAGAGCTTTTTTTGGGATTTATTCTTCTCCTCTTCGGTTTGGGAGTCCACATCCAAAACCGTTCCATTTGGAGGGCTAGATGAACACAATCTCTCAATCCCTGGAAGGACTGGGACACTTGAGCATCAGAGGGAGCGTGAAAAACCGAGGAGCACGGCCAAGTGGGGAACTGGGATGCAGCCTAAGATTGTGGACTTAATAGTTGGGAAGCTGAGTGGTTTCCATTGGCACCGGGTCCTGGCAGGACTCGGGGCTCTTTCAGGGCTTCATACGTTGCTTAATGATCGAACACATGCACACATTACCGAGTCAAAGAGCTCCACTGGCAGGTTTTTGTGATTAAACGGAGGAAATATTTCTAAATTTAGATCTTTTTTTTGAAGAAAGGCTCTCCGTCTTAGATCCAGAATCCAGGATCTGCTGCTTTCCGGCCCATTTCCAGACTGTGAGCGCACACAGAACTCCTCAGACGGTATTTCATGAAGGATTAGGACCTGTGCAGCCCCAGGTGATGTCAAACAGAAACACATATACCTGTGGAAACTTTGCGTGTGTTTTTGTAAGTTTAAATAGGAAACAAGTCAGCAGAAGATGGACATTAGATAATTTTTATAGGAATTAAGTCTCATTTTTCACTTTTAAATCAGTGTTGGAAACATTACAGATGAAGGCAAAGTGCTGGCAGAGTGAAAGATGTAACATGAACACCATATGCTGCAACATATGGGGAATGAAAATGCAAAACTTCTCATTATAAAGAAGTGTGCGGGTCCGAAACGAGCAGTGTTGGGTTTAAAATGAGCAGCCGAGAGCACCACAAACACTCTTCATGGAGGAAAAATAAAAATATATATTTTAACATAAACTGAGTTTTAACCAGAGGAACAAACAGATGATTGTTTCAAATATTTATATAATTCTGATTAAAATTAAAGACCAGGGTTTGAAATGTCTGATGCAAAGCTAAAGTGCATGTTTCATATTTATGTTATCCAAAATAAAACAAACATTTAATAACAATAATAATCCTAATATCATAATAATACATTTTATTTGTAGGCGCCTTTCGGGGCACTCAAGGACACCTTACAGGACAATTAAAAGACACATCAGCAGGACAGTAAAATCAATTAAGTGTTTGGCGCTGCCGCTGCTTCCTGCTTGCTCCTGTCAGCGGTCGTCGTCCTTTTTTGGCGAACAAAAAAACCTCTTATATTCATTTTTAATAGAATGCCAATGCCTACCGCCGAGTCCGCCTTCCGCCGTGTTCAGTCCGTCTATGAATATTTGACCTTTGACTCTGTAAGCGGCCCGCCCCCCTTTACCTGTAATTCGTTAAGATGTTGCCATCAATCGAGTTGGTTGGTTGGATTGATTGACGTGTCAAGATAGATGGGATTGACTTAAGATGACTGCTCTGACGGAAAAAAACAAACCCCAAATCAAATTAAGAGAAAATGTTGCTTTTAGTCCAGGGTGGGCACATCTGACTTGTTAGGCGGGCACAGCCCCCATTTCCCGTCCATGCCGCCGGGCCTGGTTCAGAGAGGTATGGAGGAGTGAGGTTGTGGACGGCCTTGAATGTGTGGAGCAGAATTTTATAGTCCAAGTGGTATTTTATGAGAGAACAGGCGTGATGTGACTGATAGATGGTGTTCTGGTGATGATGCAGGCGGCGGCGTTCTGGACCAGTTGTCTCTAATCCACACCGAAACAAGCGCCTCAATTCTTATGGCTGTGTGTGTGTGTGTGTGTGTGTTTGTGTGTGTGTGTTTTCCCCCTTTTGTCTCTCCAGAGCTGCCCAGGTGAAATCACTTAGTGACAATCAGACTCACCTGGTGCTGAGACCTTAAAGAGCTGCAGTCTGCAGAGGCGTTTGGTGGAGAACTGCTACTGCCTCTCAGTGTTCAGTTAATCTGTTCTTTTTTTAATCACAATAAATCACTTATTAAACTTTTGAAGATATTTTGTGACTTTAATGGGTCAAATGTGAGGATAGTTGTTGTGGCGCCTTCAGGTGGGGCGTAATCTTCAGTCACTCCAGGTCAGCTGGTTTTAACTGAGCGGTCCCACTCTGACATGTCGCCATCATATTCAAACAAACACACTTCCTGTGTTTTCCCTCTGCTGCTGTGTTTTTATTTTAATCCCTCGGCGCCGTACGGACGGCTGCCTCTGATATTGATAACGGCGTCCTCACTGTGACTGATTGGAGCTCCACCAGCAGTCAAATGAACTGCAGCCTCTGTTATAACACACGGAGACAGATAAAACGGCGCGGTGACGGCGTCGCATTAGGACAGTCCTCTGCCATTAACGCCGTCACAGCGTGAGCATCTGGAGGAGGGGCGCAGGTTGCCACCGCCGCCGCGGCTGCGCTGGTCGGCATGCGGAGGCCGGTGGGATCACCCACATCTCTCCCAGTCAGCGCGGATCAGTCTCCACGAGCTGATCAAAGGCGTTTGACTCCCGCCACACAGGGCGCTGATTGCTTCCATGCACTCGCTGACACCACTTGGTGTCTTGGCGGAGGACACCACCCTAATTAAAACGGAGGGAAACAAAACTGCTCTCCCATTTTCTTTGTTCACATCTTTCTCTATATTCGCTCTCTGAACTCTGATCGACCAGAAACAGAGAAATAAATGTTAAAATAAAGGTTTCATGTTTATAGGAATCGTGAAAATCAAGTCACATCATCATGTCGATTCGCCATAACCACAGTGTTAAGTGTTAGAAAAATACAAATCAGAATCTCCTAACAACTATTCCAAAAATAGACCATTTTGAGGACTAAATCCTGTATCTGTTGAGTCTGTTTTTAAAACCATCATATCTGGAGTAACTTTCAGTCGTTTGACTCGTTGACAGGCTGCTTCATCCTCATGTATTTAGGACATTTTCAGGACCGCCTCACGCACATTTCCAGCCTCACACCTTCAGACGTGTCTCTCTCTGACACCGTGTTTGTCAGCTGCTTAGACTCACTCGGTGTTTTGTTAACGTGTCCTACTTTCGTGTAACTTTGTTCACCCTGTCGCTCTGTCCTTCCTCCCCTGGCGGTGGTGAGTGACGGCTGGCCTCGGTCACGACAGGTGGACTATTTACCGCTTAAAGTTGCCGTAATGTGAATATTTAACGATATCTGGAGGTCGTGATCTCGGCTGAAACGCCCCCTTGCTCACCCCTGCTGTAAGAGTGACGATGGCCTTTAAGGACAAGAAGCTCAGATCCTCCATTTGTCATGTTTTCAAGTAGATGTCACCTATTTGGGTCATGAATACACAAACAGTTCTTAAAACTCTGTCAGTGTTTAAAACAGCAGAGTGGAGAGTTTGTTCTTTTTTAGCATATTTTGTCATCAACTCCTGGCTTTGTTTACTTGGACGATCTTTGGCGAAAATGATCTTGTGTATAAGCAGAGAGATTTGGTTTGAATTTTGACCATGACAGTAAAAAATCGAGGATGCTGCAAAAGGCTCTGGATTCTCAGAGTAGAAACTAGGATGACGTCCTCCACCACATCCAGAACGGCTACGAAAAGGCCGTATCCGCCAATCGTAGCTGATCGTAACCATTCAAGTTAACGTGTCAATTTCCACTGGCAGATCACAAGAGTGCTATTTATTCTGGACGCTGGAAAGGAAGTCGGGCACAGACACAAAATAAAACATCCGGCTTCTTTTCAAAATAAAACACTCCGTGTTTCAGGAGGATCGTATTTCACACCATGCAAACGGGCGGAGACGAACAAGTGAAAGGTTTTTAGACGTCATTTCACCCCGATGACACCATGGATGAGGAGATGCTGATTCTAGAAGTCTAGAAGTAGATTTCCTCCTCTGGTAGGACACAATCTACTGCTTATATGTCTATGTGTCTGTCTTTATAGAGACAACTCATTATTGAGCAATTGAACGTAATTCTGCAGGTTCCTTTGAGTTCTCGTGTTTACTGCTTGGTGGACAGCAAAAATCGCAGCTGTTCTGGATGCGGTAGAAACACCGGGTTAGAAGCGTATAAAAAACACTCGACCCGACCTCAAAACCTCTCAAAAATTACGTGCGACTCTGTGACTCCACCCCTGAGTAGTAGCGTCCACTTTTCGGGGATTCAGAATATGGTCACCTGAGCAGAAATGTTCTGCAGTTTGAGAAACTGGCGATTTTAGCGCTCCTGCATCAGCTTCATTTCTTCTTTTTTAATTATTCAGATCGATTTAAATGAGAGTTTGCATCAACTTCCTATTCTTACCTGTGTAACACGACCTCTTAAACCGTCTAAACTTCCTTTTGTTTTGGACCGATCACGTACTTAGCCACCTCGCCATCTCTGCAGCTCCCACGCTGTTATTCTCGGAGGAACTTGAGGAGGATGGTTGTAGCTACAAATGTTCCCTCCCCGGCAGAGCCATGAGCGTGATGTTAATGGCGGCTCAGTCCATTTTGGCAGCAGGCGCCTGGATAATGTAGAAGTGGATCCACATCAGTGAGCCGCGCTGATGGTCTGAGCGAGGCAGTGCAGCTACACTTCTTTTCCCCCCCGAGAGCTGAAGTTTATCAAATTTCTATTTAAAATTCCAATAAGCACTAAAACGAGGGGGCGGGGAGGGATCCCGGGACTTGGCTCCTGCGTGGGCCCGCTCAGGTAACCAGACTCTTTGTTGGTCGCTAAGCAGGAGGGATCGATATCATATCAGGGCCCGGCGGAACACCTGACAGTTCAATTTCACAGCGAGCCCCGAAATCAATACCTTTGGAATAGTTTTGGACTTTCCCAAAGGCTGCCCACCGGAGTTAATCTATGGTGTCATTAGCCCGGGTCACGGCGCCCACGGTCATTACTCTGTGTAACAATAAATGTTCATAAAAGACGACACGCTCCGTCCTCTTGTGCTTGACTGCAGTCTCTAATTGAAGTAAATTCATTCACGAGGGAGAGCGGGGGCTGATCGACTGCTCGGGCCGCTCCTCTTTTGTAATCCACGTCCAAGAAAGTACGGGAGGAGACGGCGGCGTGTCAGGCCTATCCAGAGGGTACAAAGCAGAGGAAATTGAACAAGGTTTTATCAAGCAGAAAATGTGTTAAAGTGTTTAGTTTGTGCCGTAGGGAAGGATTGTTTACCCTTGAAACAAAGTGGTGTTTATTTTTTTTCAGGACCTTCACACACACACGGCACTTAAGGACGGAGGTTTAGAGTCACAAAGGGAGGAAGAGCCATAAACATCCATCTTGTTCTTCACTTATTTGCTCATTTTTCCAGAGCCAACAGTATTACACGACACTGACCATCAATAACGGAGGTAGATTACAGCAATAATCACTAAAACACAATAAGTCAAGACAGGGGAAATAATTAAAGCCGTTTTGATTTTAGCGGCTCAACAAAATCTCTTATACACGAGTTAAACTCGCCACATAAATCAGCGCCAGCGCCTCTTTAATGTCTAAAGAAAGAGAACAGGGTTCGGATAGAAAAGCCTTCGTCCTGTTTGCTGAAGCCCAGCTGGAACAGCCTGTCAAAATAAACCACGGAAACCCGCTGGAAAAATGACACAAGCAGCCCCGGGCTCAGAGTGGCACGGTGGTTTTGGCCCGAACCCACTCCGAACTGGAATCTATTTTCCCTCTGTGGATGTGACGGGTGGGCAAAGGACCGGGGGGCGGGACAGGAAATGACCGAGGAGGAGAGTAATGGCGGATAGTTTCTGGATCTGCTGAGAGATTGCCAAGGTCAGGAGTGAAGGCTAAAGGGCGATTCTGGAGTTTTTTAAAACTAGGACGTTTCTGTGAACATGACCATCTCTAACATACAACATCCTGTGTCTCTAAAATGCTTTCTCCTTTGTCATTGGGTGAACTGGAAGTACATGCAGACCCGCCATGTGGCGTTCCTCTTATCCCATGATCCTTATTGAGGCTTAAACAAAAGATTACATTTTATTTGACTAGGACATGAGGAGAGGATGCAAGGGAAGGATGCAAGGAAAGGAAACTGAGCCGTAGCTAATCTTTACCATGTACTACATGTCTTACTGGAGGAGGGCGAACCAGTCAGCTCAGGATAATGACTGGGCTTTCTTTCTTTCTTTCTGTCTGTCTTTTTTCTTCTGTCTGTCTTTCTTTCTTGCTTATCAATTTCTGTCTTTTCTTTATTTCGGTCTTTCTTTCTTTTTTCAGTTTTTCTTTCTTTATTTCCGTCTTTCCTTCTTTCTTTCTGTGTCTTTCTTTTTATTTATTTATTTATTTCTGTCTTTCTTTCTCTTCTTTTCTTTCTCTTTCTTCTTTCTTTCCATTTTCTTCCTTTCTTTATTTATTTATCTCAAACTGTAAGAACAACAGCAAAAAAAATAAACTAGAAACAAAAGCAAAAAAAATAAACTAGAAACAAAAACACTGAACAAAATATCACATATGTTCACCAAACATCTGTGCATGTCAAAGATAAATTTGCACAACACACGTTTGTCAAAAATAAACAGTTTGAGAAGAAACAGAATGAAGCACAGAACAGTATCCCTAACATACAAAACAATATCTTTGCATCACATAATAACTTTACAAAGTTCATCCTCAGGGAGTCGTTGTCAAAAAAAGGTCTGTTTTCTGCAGGAATCCCGTCTGTAACTCTGTCAGTCTTTAAAAACATTAATCTGAGGTCACAGGTCATGAAAAAGACGACTTTTAGTTGATGTTTGTTGCCCCTCACCTTTGTAGCTGTTAAAGAAAAGTACGTTTTAAGACTTTTAGACCCAATTTATGTAGAAAAGTGAAGCCCTGCTTGGATCTCCTTATCTGAGCCTCTTCATTAGTGAAAACTTGACATTTACCTTTTAACTAAGATCACCCCCTCATGACTGAACCACAGTAAACACACAGATATGAGCTCAGTGAGTGAGGCCATGACTAAACCTGAAGGATCGTCTCTGCAAGCTCTGAGCTGTGGTCACTAACAGGACTCTCTGTGCAGCAGGCAGAACCGATTTGGAAATCATGGTTTTTCAGAGATATCTGAAACCGGCTATTTTCAGGGAAAAATGTGGAGCTTCGACTGACAAGAGGCATCATTTCTGGGACTCTGGCCCCCATGCAGATATTCACACTCTTCCTTTCCATGCCTCAGCTTATATCCCCGCTGTATAATTTACAGTATGGCTGGAAGCAGAGGTCCAACATCGTCAATTTTCCTCCTGACACTCAGACTTAAGTGTTCATTTAGAGGCTGCAGGGAGAATGAAACTATTCCAGGAGTTTAAGAGGTTAGAGTTTGTGGGGATTGAAGCAGGAAAACAACTTTGAGCTTTTTCATTTTTTTATTATTAACATGTTAAATAGGAAGATTGTCTCAGATCAGCTGTCAAGACGTGTAGACACCTCTTAAATTTGCGGTAATAACTGATGTGATTTAATCCGGATCTGTTCAAACCTCAGAAAGACTGTAAAGGGAGAGTTTGGTCGGAGTTAGCAAGTGGATAACCCACAGGAGATCCTGGTCAGCTTGGCCGGTTTGGTGAAAAACCATCTGGAGAATAGGATCAGAAGTTAGACCATCATTCACTGCAGATGGAGTCATTCTTGGTGTTAGTCCTCGCTCTGTTCGGACATTTTTCAGCGTCGCTTTGCTGCCAGAAGCTCGTTTGTTTTGCACAGTTTGCAGATGCATGTTCTTCGGCTTGCAGCTCAGGAGAGATCCCGGGTTACCTGGTGGTGCAGGTGTGTAAACTGTGAACCCAGAGAGTGGGACTTTATAACAACAACACTTCAGGACCTTTCAGAGACCAGCAGGAGCAGCTGCGCTCTGAATCCTACATACCGAAGTTTGCATCAAGACAGAGAAAACTTTTAATTTATATCCGCAGATGATCCAGAAGACTCGACTACCTATAAGACTCTCAGCAGCAGCAGGGCCCCACCGCAGAGCTTCACAGGAGGGCCGCTGTGTAATGACCGTCGGTGCAGAAACATGAGTCAGGAGGAAGGGATGAACGCTGAACAAATAAACCTCCAGGACTGAACCTTGGAAATAAAAGGCAGCTGGGGACAGTAAAATACAGAAGGAAGGCCGAACCTGAGGCTGCTGCTGCTGCTGCTGCTGCGTTTTTTCACGCTCCTAAAATTAACAGTGTTTAGTCTGCAGGAGGAACACATTTTAGAGACACTGGAGGCTCTCACAGTCAGTTTACACCCTCAGAAATTAAAACACACGATGAAATGTTCAGTCTAGTCCTTAAAGATTTAAAAATATAAATTTAAGAAACAGCAGTAATTTTTTTCAATGTTTCTGGAGGTCCAAAAATGATCTCAAGGTCGAAAACAAGATAAAACGTGCTAACATCGGCAAAGTCTGAGATTTAATGTGCCGAATAATTAAACCTGCAGACTCTGTTGTATCCAGAATTTTGAGTTTTTAGACATAAAAACAGAAAAACTCAGAAAGTGATAAATGAACACAGAGTTAAACTGTAAGTTTCAGTCTTCAGAGCTGACGTTAACACAGACGTGTATTTCTGCAGTTAAAGTCAAACTCTTCACTTCTTTATTAAAAGGGTTCATGACTGTGTGTAAAATATAAAACAGAATTATTAGACGAGATAAAAATGGCAGAAAATTATGTTTTTATTTTGTATTAATGTAGAAATTTCACCAGACTCTGAATTCTCTTCTTGTTTTTCTTCTCACACTAATTGGACTGACAATCTTTTCCTATTCACTCGTGTTTTTGGTAAATTAGTCTTTTCTTCTTCTTCCTGCTCCTTTTCAGAAATGAAATTATTAATTTGTTTTCTTCTAATTCTTTTTTAAAATAATACTTCAGCCATGACCAGAATAAATGCAGTTTAATCAGATTTGGATCTGTTGATGAGGAAAATTAAAAAAAAAATCAATTTTATACCAAAATACCTGATTTCTTTATAACTCTAGTTTCCACTTTAACAAAGGACAACGTTCGATAAGTTTGAAGGAGATAGAGGAAGTGTCGGATTAAAAAAGGAAACTGTTGTTGAAATATTTCAAGGACACTTTTACACTTATTGTCATTTTTCATCCTGTCAGTCTGGGACTGATTTGGAGAAACTCTCCATGATTTACATCTTAAAAAAATCTCCTCGTTTACCAAAAACTGTAGTTTAATAAAAGTCTCACTGCAGCAGCTTCAGTCAGAGTCTGTCTGAAACACGTCACTTTAGTTTAGCTGCTTTTAGACACAGCCTGAGGGTGTTACTTTTTACACAGCTCTGAAAGATTGTGTGTTATAACATTGAAGGGGCTTAAAAAAAGGGAGTCTCCAAATTCACTTGTAAACAGTGTTAGAGACCCTGTTTGATAATTTACACTCTTCAGTAAATTCAAGTTGGATATCTACTTTTTTTAGCAGCTTTGTTACCACAAAAATAATCGCAAGGAGAAGATAAGCAACATATTAGCCTTCAATTAAACCAAAACTGTTGCTGCTGTCATGATGTTTCCTCCAGTTTCTGTTTTTTCAGGTTTAAGGTCCTTTTGTGTGATTATTTCGGACGTCAATATATTTTTTCGAACCCATATCCTGTCAATTCAAGTGTTCACATCAGCGACATTCTCCCGTCCTGTGATATTCCGGCATTTATTTTTTCAGATCGAATTTTCTAAAGTTTCACATACTGTGTGTCCACTTCTGACCAATCAGATTGCGTGTTGTTGCGACGTCAGATTTAACCGGTATATCCAACATGGCCGACCGGCTGATTGTTTACGTGTCGGAGAACAGAGTGATTTTTGATAAAAGACACAAACATTACAAAGATAACGACCTGAAGGACGACTTGTGGAGAGTCATAGTGTCAGATTTCTCATCTGACGATGGTTTGTGAGCCTTAACAGTTTGATAAACGTCTTTGTTTTAAACTTTTTTTAGCTCGTAAGCTAACCTGTTCAGATACAACATACAACGTATATTTGCGTCGTTCCCGGTGTGTAAGGACCTTTAGAGACCTGGTTTTATACGTTTCACTATTCTGTAAATCAGTGTGGGACATCTACTCTTTTAACGGCTTTGTAACCAGAAAAAACAGCCTATTCTGAGGAGATTAGCACCATGTTAGCCTCCAATTAAATCCAAACCCAAAGTTTGTGTCTCTGAGCTTCATGAGGGTCTTAAGGTCCAGGTTTCAGGTTCCCGGTCTAGTTCAGTCCTGTCGTTGGGTTGAGTTGAATCTTGCAGATACCTTGAGCTGTTTCTAAATTGCGGCGGACAGACGTCAATGTTCCCTGACATTTTATAGACAGAATGACTAATGAGAAAATAATTGACAGATTGATCGATCAGCATGTTAGGAACCAGAGCTGGTTGGTTCTGGGTCTGAAGGTGGAGTTCAGAGTTCTGCAGAGCTGTTGGTGTTGCTGATGTTGGATGACGGCGTTCTCCACATGGACGTTTCAGCTCCTGAGACACTGAGGGAGTCGCTGGATCCCAGATTCTTTCTTCCACGGGTCAGGGTAGTTAATGTTTACATCAGACGTCCCTCTGCTGCTGTAAGCCTGCAGAGTCCAGTATACTGATCCGCCACGGGGGGACGGAGATCCAGGAAGTGACCAAAGGGCTCGGCTATCAAATGTTTCACTGAGGGTTGTTTCTTCAGCTCAGCGAAGGTGCGGACAGCCACCCACCAGATGTTTGTTTTATCCTGCTGGGAACCCGATCCAGTAAATCCTTTTTTTTTTAAGTAGTTCAGAATAAGATCGGTCCGTTTCAAAATAAGAGACGGACTGACAGAAAGAAAGAATCTCTTATTATCTGATTATTCCTCTGTGTTCAGTTGTTTTTATTCCAGAGAAATCTGCATCGTTGACTTTAAAAATCAGATTTTTTTGACCATTTTCTTTTTGCAAATCATTTTGTTTCCCCCTGACTTTGATTTCTCTTTTGTTTGGGGTCCAATTATTGTGTTTGCCGGTCGCTGTGACAGAGTCAGTGGGTGGCGGCGAGGAGTTTTGTCTCCACCATCTTTTGGAAAAGCACCGTTTCGTTGTGATCATTTCAGGTCACGCTGCGTTTTCTTCATTTTCCGAATCACACTCCCCGTCCTCTGGAGTTTTTTTCTTTTTCTCAGAGAAAACATGACAAATGATAAATATTTTTGTAAATACACGGCACCTTGGGTACAAAAAGAAGAATCGCTGCTTTATTATTGAAGTATTTTGAATGTCAGCCTTGACTAAAAGACTTTCACTTATTTCTGAAAAGCTGAAGGTTTTACTGCAGAAAAAAAATCTTTTGACTTGAATGTCAGAGAAATCAGAGGACTCTACCTTTTTACCTGTGATGAATGAGTGCTAGTCTTCACAGAGGGATGCTTTTTTACTCCAAATCTAAAAATCTGTCAGACCACTCAGGCACGCCAGTTTAGTCATCAGTCTATCTTCATTTATGAATCCATTCTGGACCAAAAACTGGACCATCTTTACCCCGTTTTAACCCTGAAAGGCAGAATTTACTACCACATTTCGGTAAACTTTACAGAGATATTCCTGCGTAAACTTAATTAAGGGTCAAACACACAATAACACCAAGTTACGCCAAATTTTCACCGCATCTGGAACGGCTCCGATCCGGAATGGCAGCGACTTTTGCAAAATGCCAATTCCTACTTGATCTGTTTGTGAGTCGAATTTCATGGTCGATTACAAACAGCAGGAATCGCGAGAACTCACAAGAACCCACAGATTTTCATGCAATCGCACGATAAGGAGTTGTCTCTATAAAGACAGACACATAGACTTATAAGCAGTAGATTGTGTCCTTCCAGAGGAGGAAATCTACTTCTAGACTTCTAGAATCAGTCCTGTCAGGACTGTGATGGATCGACTTTATTACAAATATTTGAGACACTAAAACTCTGAATTTACCAGAAATGACATAAAAATCTGAGATTTTAAAAGTATGGATGGAATAAACCTTCTGAGTTTAAAGATTTCAGGTGTGCATGAGACTCACCTGGACATTGTCCGGGTTGTCTTGCCTCATATTGGGGTCCGGGACAGCACCGGTGGAGTAGTACAAACCAAAAACTGTGCTCCATCGGGGTCTCTGGAGGTGGAGAGTGAGTTTCTATCCTGGATATGGGATAGAGGTTCAACTCTTTATCTTTGCAGGACCTCTGGGGGACTCCTGAGGTTCTTCATTATCCAATCAGAATCTGCCTTGTTGACTCAGGAGCAGGTCTTTGGGGGGCCGATCTGGGGAGAGGTTTGGTAGATTTACAGGCTGGAGTTGAAATCTCAGAATCTGGAGTCAGGATGATTTCCTGAACACTGACCTTCTACCAGAAGAAAATATCGCAGCATTTCTTCTCCTCCGCTCTCTCCATGTATACATCTTCTGTGTGCAATTACACAAACAAGTCTCAGAGAAAGGACAACAATCAATAATTCTTTAACAGAAAGGTCAGTCCACCCCATCACTCACATTAACTCTATTGATGAGTCCTGCTCTGCAGTCTGACAAGGGAAAACCAAAGGAAATGTATTTTTTCCTCTTTTCCTTCAACAATAAAACTTCAATTAGCTGTCCTCCCACGTCCGCGTCGCTCCACTCAAATCCATCGTCGGCAATGGGAAATACTCGGGGCTTGTTGATCAGATTCGTCTCTTATCAATGACTCATTAATGATTACCGATGTGACTGTAGATCTGTGCGTATGCAGATGTTGCCCCTAGTGTCCAAAGTAAGGAAGTGCATGTACACTGAGAGGATAATTTAGTCTAATAACTGATGGTTTAAATTTAATGTGTCATTATTTTTTAAATGATTAGATTATTCACTGATATGCAGGGATTCCTGGTTTATACACCAGCATCTGCACTTTTCAGGAGTTTGAGTTTAGTCGATTTTTGATGTTCTATATGTGAAATACCGTATTTTTCGGACTATAAGGCGCGATTAAAATCCTTAAATTTTTCTCAAATATTGACAGTGCACCTTCTAATTCAGCACGCCTTATATTTGATTATTTGTTGTGCTTACTGACCGATTTTATGTGGAACAATGCGCTAAAAAAGTCTGTCTAACTGTTAAAATTCAACTTTGGTAAGCATGGAGGCCGCTCCGCTTAATGGATATTCAGAAAATTACAGTACGCTGTGTCACCATAGGTATATATAAGAAAGGCTAGATGACTCGCGGTGGAGTCACCGCTGTCCCAACACGGTGGCCATCTTACTCCAGTATAACATTTTGTTACGCTCTATGGTAGCTGATGGGAGGCGAATAATCTGCATGATCAAAAATCCTTTTAACTCGCTGAAATCTTGACAGATTTATAAATTGTTTAGTTTATTACAGACCTTAATAATGTGGCTCTGAGTCGGGATGTTTGGACATATTTAAATGACAGATTTACCTTGAGTAAAAAAAAAGACTTCATCATGAAGCACAATTGTTTCACGGCTATTTGCACGCAAGGGATGACTTTGAATTTCTTGTATGGCAGCCCATTATTAATTAATTTATTTATTTTATATATATATCTATGTTTGTCACTACCTGATCGGCTCTGTAACAGGACCCCTGAGCAGTCTAAAAGACAGCCTGACTGTAATGTCTAAACTAGAAGGGCATTCATGTAAGACAGCTCGGGCCTGAAGTACACGCTAGCAACAATAAACCAATCAATGCGCCAATGCTTCATGCACCTCAAAATCCGGTGCACCTTATGCGCAAAATACAGTAGTTGTGAAAAGTGAAAATCATTCAAAGGAGCGGCTTTTCTTCAGATGCAGTAGCTTATCTACGGTGCACCAAGAAGGACAAAAATAGCAAAAACGTGTCTAACCTTCATGATAAAATGTTGTAGAGATAAATCGAACCTCTGCAGAGTGTGTGAGGTTGGAGCAGCAGCAGCAGTCTGGAGTTTCTTTAGGAGGAAAGAAGAAAAGCAAAGGTTTGGTCGTCCTCATTCTCTCCATCTGCCCCACATGTCACAGCTGGTTTAGCTCAGCAGACGCTCGATGCTTAGCTCAGCTCCCCGTGTCCTGTCACTTCAATCAGCACTCTGCAAAGCACAGGGTCAGGCTGGGACTGTCTTCCTCTTTAATGAACCAACAGATAATGGCCTATGGGGGCCCTGGAGAGACATGACACAAATTGCCTTGTCCTCTGACTGGGATTAGTGGTAATTACTGCTCGCCTTGGCAGATCAATGGGATAGTAGTGCAACACGTAGAGGCCACCCTGTGTCACACGCTGGCTTGATACCAGAGCTCATGAGGGCACAATCAAAAGGAAGTGAGCTCTTGATATGTCACCGCGGCCCCCTCGATTCTTTCTGACAAGAGTCAGATGTGATGCAGGTTTCAAAAGGAAGCGGGTTACAGAACAAAGACGGGACAAATTCCACCTGACTGGGCGCTGAGAGGACATCAGGGGAGCGTGGCGCTAAAACGACCCTTGACAAAGTTTCTCTGAGGAAGCACAGAAGCTGCACGGCGGTGGAGGAGGAGCCTTCAGGAGTTAGGTCTACAAACGCTGCTGTTTCCTGAATAAACATGGCGTCCCTGATTACAACAGAGATAAATGTCAACCGCTTGCTTCTGTAGTTATACCAACTTTTGTGACGACCGCACGATAGCAATACACGGCGGTCTGAGGAGCCATAAACAAACCTCAACCAAAACGCCAAAATGCCTCCCTGCCCCCTTCAGAAAAGTCAAATGAACATCGTTCCCCTTGACCTTCACTTTCTCTTAAATCTTTGACGTCGTTTTGCGACCGCCGGTTCTACAGGAAGAGGTTCTGCACTGATGTCAACCCGCTGACAAGGAGCAGAGCATCGCCCCCCCCTCACCTCTGCAGAGGAGAAACACCCCCCTGATTAATGACCGCGGCTCTGCTCTCATGGGTTTTTAATTAAAGCGCTCAGATAGATGCACAGACATAGATGCGCACACAGCCTGCGGCATCACAGAAGGGCAAGAAGAATGGGATTTAATTGAGAGAGTGTAATTTAAGAGGGAAATACAAATGGACCGCTCCTCTATGGTGTGACAATATTGACCTTTCACCCCATCCTGGAATCAGACAGCTCCTCCCACTGTGTGAGAACGCCGCCGGTCACTTAATTACAAGATCATAAATCAGGATGGAGATTACATGGAAGAGAGAAACAGGGAAACCAGAAGCATCTCAAGACTCTAAAGTGAAGGGGGACGGGATCCTCTGGTTTTATGAGACACAGATTTGAGTTTAACCCTTAGAGCTCCCAGATATATTTTGCTATTTTTGGTTTGCCTGTTTTTTTTTTTTTTTTGTAAAAATCTATGCGGTAACTCGATCCTTTTAAGCACAGCAAATATAAACACATCCTTTTTTTTCCAGGACAACCTCAGCTGTCAGTTTATGGGTGCAAAATTTATGTAAAATGAATGTAACAGTAGATTCAGAACCATCAAAGTCGACCAAAAAATTAAAACAGGAATTAACACCAACCGTAAATTTGCACAAAAAACCCCATAAATCTCCAGTGACCAAGCCTTTTCTCACCTGAACATCATTCTCTCAAGTCTTGGCTATCAGGTATATCACTGCGGATTTACCCTCAAACGTCTCTGATCAAACACCTGTTTTTGTGGCTGGATTGTAAACCCTGTGGCAGGTGTAGAAATGTCTGGAAACCCTCTATAGATCGCCAAAAGGGTAAACTTTTGAACACTTTTCATCCCGTAGAGATACACGGTATAGTTCCTGAGAAACTTTAAACTATATTAATGGTGTCACGTGGGATTGTCGGCGATCCAACGGAGTTTAAGTGTTGAAGATTTAACAAGAAAAACTAAATGAGAACACCAGGATGTCGTGTTTACCCAAAAACTCCAGATACAGACTCTGCAGAAATGAGTGAAATGCACCTTTAGATGGAGAAGTAAACTTGACTCAAAGAACATCTGCAGCTCTAGTTTAGTTATACAACAAAACACAAAACATGATGAAAATTCACAGGTGTTTTCTTCAAACACAACATCAGACCTGGTTCTGATCGTTCAGGACCGCAGATCCTTCTCTCTTCTAATCACACAACAAAAACATCACATGTGAGGTTTAGGGAGGAGCCGTGATTACACAGACGGACCTGGACTTGAACCTAATCAAAAGACAAAACCAGAGCCAGAGAGAGAGAGATGAGCTTTGATTAGGGTCAGAGTTAACGGTCCGAGTACGTTGGTTGTGTTAATAAATCTGTAAAACGGATACTACGAATATTTTAAGACACACAAAGTCACGGATCCTTCACAGGAGCTGCTGAAGGGTTAAAAATGTGTAACATCTTATCAGAGAGAGGAGCTGAGTTTAGATCCAGTAAAGTACAGTCAAAGAAGATTGATCGGTTGGTTAATATCAGTCAAAGTAAACATTTCCTTTCCTCTGGAGAACCAACATTAAATGCATCATCCTCTCTAAGACGAGGAGCGCGCTCTCTTCTTGTCAGACTTTTCTCTAATTTGTTCGAGTTGTCAGCACAGTTCCTGTCACTCATACTGATGAGCTATCAACCCTGACACGGCGTCTACACCGAGGCTGAGTTATCAGGAGTCTGTAAATGATTTTAATGAGGAAAAAGTTGCAGAGAACAGCTAGAAAGAAAACGAAAATCTGCGTGAGCGTTAAAGAGAAGAAGGAGGTGGACAATGCTGGCAGCTTCTCAGGGAGGAAACAAACCGGCTGCTGCAGACGGAAAGACCTGGAACAACCTGTTTCATCTCATTTCATCCAAATGAGCCGACACACACTTTAGGAGTTTAAAGAAACACACACACACACAACATGGACGTGTTAAACACAGGTGTTAGTCTGTGCAGTGATTGGGATTAAAGGCGTTCATGGTGGAGGTTTCTTTGTCATACAGCGTCTCTTTTGTGATGTTTTATTATTCTTAAACAGTGTAAGACGAGGAGATAAGACCGTTTTTACATCATACCGCGGATTCACATGCCATCGCGCAATGACAAGTTGTCTTTGGCCACAGAGGCTAACCAAATAAGCAGTAGATTGTGTCCTTCCAGAGGAGGAAATCTACTTCTAGACTTCTAGAATCAGCATCTCCTCATCCATGGTGTCATCGGGGTGAAATGACGTCTAAAAACCTTTCACTTGTTCGTCTCCACCCATTTGCGTGGTGTGAAATACGATTTTGAATTTTGAAAAGGAGCCGGATGTTTTATTTTGTGTCTGTGCCCGACTTCCTTTCCAGCACGGGTTAATCTGTGCTGAATTTACCCGCCATGCTCTGGCGTCCGGAAAAGTAGAACTCTTGTGATCAGCTGAGGAGTCCGGCGATCCGCAGAGGAACGGAAAGAAGTCGGTGTAAATTGACACGTTAACTTGAACGGTTACAATCAGCTGCGATCTGCAGATACGACCTTTTCATAGCTGTTCTAAATGCGGTGGAAATTATGGGTTAGTGTGTTTGTTTATACTGGTGTGAGAGCTGGTGCACACCAAAGAACTGTACTGGGACCACTTGAAAAGTTTGGTACCAGTACAGTTCTATTCAGGTTTATGCTCTAAGAGTCCATGAACTGAATTTAATACTAAAAACATATTTTTTTACTCCACACACCAACAGAGAGAGCTCTAACTACAGGAGGCTTTGTGCTTTTCATGATTTAACCAGTTAATATTCGCTTTGTCTGGAAATTCAACCTTTTTAACTTAATGTTTCCCAACAAACCTCCAACAGAGTCTGGGATACCAAGGCTACTGTAGTGATTTTGAATTTATAATTAATGTCCTCAGATAAATAATCTTAAATTATGACATTTTATTTTGGTGCCCCGTGTGAGTCCGTTTGAAAGGTCATTAAAACTCTGTCTCTGTTCTCTGAATTGACCTGTTGTGAAGAGCTGGAGGTTTACGTCAACGTCCGGTCGGGTCTGTTCAGTAACCTGAAAGTCTGAACAAGTCTGTAAAGGTTTATATAATCCTGTGTCCTGGGACCAGATCAGGGACCTTTCCTGCGAGGAATGTGTGAGTTTCACCGACACGGTTGTCTTGATGCTTTACTACTAATTTCCTTAAATACTGGTATCATCCAAAAATTACCTATAAGTCAGTTTAAAACTTCAACACGCTCATGCATGCAGAGAAAATGCTGTTTTTTCATCCCTCTCTATCTCCTTCATTCTGACATGAACTCTGCAAACCTACATCCTTCTGCTGAGAGAGTGGAGGGATGGTCCGGATCCTGTTCTGGGGAGGGTCTGAGTATCCTTGAGTCCCCAGCATGTGTCAGGCAGGGCGGTCAGTAGAATAAGAGAGCTGATTGGATTGTGCAGCCACATTGCTTGTACCAATTTCCTGAGTTAATAGGAAATCTCTCCTTCCTGCCTCGGCGCCTTTCCCCGGGCTCTGGCAGACCATCCACGTGGATATCGGAGGGAGGGGGTCTTTGTGGTCACAGAGGCGGAGGTAAACAACAACCTCGACCCGACCCTCTGTCACCTCGGTGTTGTCCCCTAAAAAATCTCAGCGAACACGTGTCGCGTTTCCTCAGGTGTTGGTGGAGGAAGGAGAAAAACTGGCGTGGACAGGTTTTGGAGAAGATACAAGATCGAGGCCGCTCGCCAAACGCCACGCTTGTGAGCATGACTGGACAAACACGGCTGTCCTCCTTCAGAGGCCGAGCCAAAACCGTCAGCCATCGCCACGTCCACCATGATACCCAAAATCAACAGAGGAGAGGGGGATAAACACTGGCATGAGCCGCTGTTCGAGTCCAGAGAGGTTTTCCAGACTGTCCTCATCTGTCTCTCCACATCTGCTCGAGTCTCTTGAAACACAATCGGACGATCAAACAAACTGTGCGTTTGGTTTTGGATTTATCAGAGAAACGGACCGAATCACTCCCGCCTTTAATTCCTCCTCTCTTTTTTCCACCTTATATGTGTTTTTCCATCCCCCAACGTCTCCCACAGTGACCTTTTAAAGGTCTTTTAAAGTGGAGGTAGGAGAAGGCACGCCTGCAGCCTCATATTATCGGATGAGGCGGCTGACAAATGTGGCAGTGTTCACGCAGGAGCTTCTATTAATCTCCCAAACGATGCAAGGCCTAATGGGAAGAGGACTTAAGAGAGGACACAGCCGCTTTCTGCTCTTCCTCCAGGACACGGGCAGAGAGTAATGTCCTATTGCAATCAGATTACTCCTTTCTCCCTCTGACTATTTCCTGACACCGACCACGACACTCCCCCTCCGATTTATTTCACTGGCCACTGTTAATTCCCACTGGTGGTCATCCATCTTTTTTTCCCCTTTAGTTTAGCAGAATTTAATCTCTTCCATTTTTACAAATCATTTGTCTTTGCCTCCACGCTGTGGAGAAATCGTCGATGAAAGATTAAACATAGTAAGCCACACACTGCACATCCATTGTATTACAAGGTCATGGTGCTCGGGTGGTCGGACATAGACCGAATCCTCAAACTTCACATTATCGTAGAAAAGGAACTTTTCTCTGCACTTTTTAAAGTCTCCTGTCCTTAAACCGGCGTGTGCATGTGACAAAACAAAACAGGAGAATAAAAACTGTATTAATATGTGCTTTAAAAATGGAGTTATCATTGTTTTTGCAGAAGAAATACTCAGATGCAGCTAATTAACACTCAGTGAACAAGAACTTTCTACTCGAGTCTCCGAGGGCTTTGAGATTAAACAAAGACTCAACCATTAAAAGTCATTATTCTGCTCTGAAATTAAACAATTAAATTAAAGTTTGTATGATTAAAAAGGATGTTAGTTTGAGAACAGGAAAATGGATGTGGAGGTACGGCTCTGTGGAGCTTTAAACTGGTTTTAAATTTGAACAAAAACGTGTTTAAAAGTGAAATTAACAGGTACGACTTTCAACCAAGTTAACTTTCTTCAAAATGCCTCAAATTTACACACTTACTGTTAAAAAACACTGATAAACCAGCACATTATGACCACTAATATGGTGGAGGTTCCCTATTATCAGGTTTTGGGTAAAGACCTTCATCATTATTTTATAAAGAATCATCAAAGCTGTGATGGACCCAGGAAGAAAACTTTGGGGTCTTAATAAACTCAACATCCTAGAACAAACAAACAATATCAAACATCAGACTTTGTTGACCAGCATGTCCAGTAGATGTTGGATCGACTTCTGATCTGGAGAATTTTGAGGCTAAGTGCGTTTTTCTGTTCACCATAATGTTGTCGCTCATTGATTTAAAGGTGGGGTTAGCAGGAATCCGTTAAAGAAGCATCTTATTTGTGGTGTTTAAACAAAAAAGCTTTTAATATAAGTCAATAGTTATTAGTTATTGATCACATTTGGTATTATAATGGTAAAGTTAAGTTTTGTTATGTCTGTGTCGTCAACATTTTAACATTTTTGAGCGGTCCGCTCTTTCTGACTGTAAACAAAACCATTCTCCACCTCCTCTAACCTGATTGGTTGTGAGGCAGACGCTGCTCCCTCATGTTGTAAGGCACGCTCCACGTCCTCCAATCACATTCACGAGCCAAAACAAAGTTAGCGTGTGACAATACCAGACAGTAGGAACCAACCATTAAGTACGAAAAACACAAGAAAACGAAGTAAATACCGGAGACTCTGGAGGAATAACGGGCGCTTAAAACGGAGGTAGACCGGACAAGAGCTAAAAAGCCGGGTCAACATAAACGATGGGGGACGCTTGGGGATCTTGGTGACCCTGTAACCTTTCTGCTGGACAGGTAAACCGCTTTAACAAAGTAAGACAAGTGTCTGTAACAGAAGTGTTTCTTGTCAAACGGACCTGCTGTAGCGTGTTGTAGCGCCATCGCTAAACTGTCCTCCCTCGGGTCCTGGACTATGTCACTTTATCCTCGTTGTAGAAGTCCTGCAAACATTGTGTTTGCTGGTAGTCTGTTGGCATCTACAGTAGCGCCAATGCTTTTGACTTTCACCTTGACTGGGCCCCATTTGTAATGATCTGAAGTATTTATCTGCATTATATCTGAATTTAATTGGAACGATACGAGCGAGCAGGAGCGTCTGTTTGTGGGCGGGGCTTGAGGGGAGAGGAGGAGCTGAGGGGAAAACTGGTTAGGAGGGGTAGAGTTTACTTTTTAAGATTTCTCCTAAAAACTGGAGCTCCCTCAGATCCTACGTTCCCAATCTTTAAATACGGTGTCATCCAAACGGCGTCTCTGTGACTTAAACCAGCGTTGAGACTTTGTGGTCGACTTCTCTGCCTCTCTACTTTCTCAGAAATGGCTGCAGCCCAGATTCTTCCCCCTGGTGAAGCAGAAAAGAAAAGAAAAAGGAGTCTTTTGTCAGGCTGATGCAAACACCAGCAGGAAAAATTAATGAATTGGGATTTCCAAATTGGCCACCCTTGCACCGATCCCTCTCCTCCCCTGCTACTCCTAACGATCTCTGACGCGTTCTCCCATCAGCCCTTGCTCATGTTGCTACATCAGCTACAGTGGGAGCACCTGTGATCTCTACAACCTGCATCAGAAGACAGACAGTTCCTCTGACACCCTGGGAGCTGCAGAAAGTCGCAGGGATTGCTTCCCATCCATACGGCTTACAGAGGGAAATGCAATAACGGTGCTTCAGCAATATAGACCAACAAAAAGCCTCCAAGTCAGCGGCTCCTGACTCAGGTCTGATGAGGGCTTCAATATCAGCTCTCTGGCCCGCCTGCACCTGCACACCTCTCCCTCATTGTCTCATTAAAGGGGGGGCTGATGCAACCGCACAGAAACAAAATCTTCCCGTTCGATTGTCTGCGGCCGACGACAGGAAACCGAGCGTGATCAGATCTGCTCCTGAATGATGAACCACGCCTGAGCGACACCGGGCTGGTTCTGATCTTTTCTTATTTCAAGGTACATGAGAGCCGGAGTGTATCCCACTTTTCAAACTTCCTAACCTTACAGAGGCCAATTTCAGAAATGTCAGGACGGACACAGTGCAGTGAAGGCAGGATGGCTGAAGGCTGAGAGAGTGCAGGGAGAATATGAGTGTGACATTTGCTGACACGCAGCAGCAGCAGCAGCAGGGAGAAACCTCAGCAAACCCACAGCTCACACAGAGAGAGAGAGAGGGAGAGACTTTCTTAACCTTCCACCTCAGCTTTAAGATCCTGCAGGAGCCATCGGACATAAAGGTCAAAGGTCAAATTAACTCGACTTTTCTCTGCACATCCACATAATTAAAGTTTGTCCACATTAGTCTGTGATTAGAGAGGCATCTCGAGCAAGTACGCAGTGTTGAAAGGTGATCCAGTGTTCGGGAGTGCAGTTCCTGAAGTGTCCACTTGGGGCTAGCTGTAGTTAGTTCCTATCGTTATGAGAATGAAGTGGTGTTAAATGGTGTCTGCACCGTCTTTTGAAATTGTTCTGAATGTTTTCAGCTCTTCCCAAAGTAGAGTCATACCCCCCAATTTTCACCGCGTCCGGAACAGCCACGATAAGGTCGTATCCGCCGATCGTAGCTGATCATCACCGTTCAAGTTAATGTGTCAATTTCCGGTATCAGTAAATTTCAGCTGATCACAAGAGTTCTATTCTGTCCGGACGCCGGAGCATGGCGGATAAATTCAGCACGGATTTACCCGTGCTGGAAAGGAAGTCGGGCACAGACACGAAAAACAACATCCGGCTTCTTTTCAAAATCGTATTTCACACCATGCAAACGGGCGGAGACAAACAAGTGAAAGGTTTTTAGACGTCATTTCACCCCGATGACACCATGGATGAGGAGATGCTGATTCTAGAAGTCTAGAAGTAGATTTCCTCCTCTGGAAGGACACAATCTACTGCTTATATGATTCGCCTCTGTGACTAAAGACAACTTGTTATCGCGTGATTGAATCTGCGGGTTCTTGTGAGTTCTTGCAATTTCTGCTGTCTGTAATCCGCCACGAAATACGCATCACAAACAGATCCGGTAGGAATTAGCATGTGGCGAAAATCGCTGCCGTTACGGATACGGTGGAAATCTCGGGATAGTCTCTTCAGCATGTCCTGGTCTTCCCTGTGGTCTCCTACTGGTGGGACATGCCCTGAACACCTCACTAGCGAGGCATCTGCAAGCCACCTCATCTGAATCCTCACAACACACCAATCCATCCGTCATTCCCCTGCTGAGATACTCCTCCCCTCGTGACAGGATCTCATCCCCGACCTGGAGAGGACGCTCCACCATGAACTCAGATTTGGAGGTGCTGATTCTCCTCCCAGCCGCTTCACACTCAGTTGCGAACCGATCCAGGGGGAGCTGAAGGTCGCGGCCCGATGAAGCTAACAGGACCGTGTCGTCTGCAAAAGCAGTGACCCAATCCTGAGACCACCAAACTGGACTTTCACACACATCCCCCAAACATTCACACACATTTTCACACTTTCACACTTTTACTGATGTTCTCTTATCTCTAACGATATCTTCTATCAGTTCAAAGTTGAAGGTGTTGACTGTGAACGTCGGTCTCCATCCTGAGTGGTTAGGAAAGGACTGACTTGTTGTTTTGGATTTAGAGGATTTAAACTCATTGTTCCCTCCCGACTGTGTTTAACTTTGGAGGCTAATTAATTATCACAGCTGCGGCCGTGTTAAGCTCATTATAAGTGGTATTGTTTGTGACTTAAGGCAGCTTATCAGTTCAGTGGGTTGGAAGTGAAACGTTCGCGGCAGCATGCTCCCTCCATTATGAAGAGATGTTTCAGCTGCTGCTGCGTCGTTGGAGAAGTTGAGGGAACAACAGCTCTCACTGCACAATGACCGCACTAATGCCTGAATTCGAAATGGAACGACTTGTGAAACAGAATATGTATAGCTGAAGTTCACATGTGCGTTTCCTCTCTCTCTGCAGCCCGACTTCAAATACATCCTGAATTCTTTCCAGACACTCGGGCCGCTGGTGACCCATTTCACGGAGTTACAGCGCCGGCCACGCAATGCGGCGTATAACCTGGTTTCCCTGTGACTGCTCCTCATTTCTCTGCCAGAGCGCTCCGTTCAGCAGGTGTCAGCTGTCCTGTCCTCGCATGGCACGCCGGTTTCTGCAGAAACTGTCGACCACACACCGAAACGCTCGCTGTGCCAACCGCCGCTCACAGAAACACGAGGGAGTTCATGACAACACGGGAAATTTAATGAGCGGGGAAGTTTCTTTCTTTGAGGAGTTTATTTCATGCCTGCCACACAGATGCCTTTTACATGTTTATGTTTTATAGAGTCATGCGCTGAAGGACAATTTATGGGCCGACAGCCAAAAGGGCTTTCAGTCCAAATGTTTTCTTTACCCAGGAGACACTGCTGCTCTGCTCCTGATGTCTGAGTTTATCCCAAACCAGGATCAGAACATGCACTTCATTAAGCAGCTTAGAGACCTGAAACCGTATAAGAGTTAACTCAGACGATAAAAGCAGTTTGAGTTTGAGCATCTAAACTATTCAGATAAAAAGCTGCAGATTGCATTTTTACAGAGCTGGGTAATGGTACAACGATAGAAGGTGGAGAACAAATCCCCCAGATCAGAACCGATCCAGTAGGGCGCTGTCCTACATCAGAGACGAGACTCTGCCCCATCCAGTCTGTAACAAAGAGGGAAAGTAAAGTGAGGAGATGGAGGACAGTTCAAAAGTTGGAGCGGCTGAAGTAGACGAAGTTAATGTTCAGAAGTGCGATGATGTTCTGTAATGTTCTGTTCGGGGTACAGAGCCGACCGCCCGCGCTCGAGCGGCTTGAGCGAGTGATGACGTTTTCAGCTTTTCTAGCCAATCAGAGGCGGGACTTTCCCCTACCATCCAACAAATAAAATGATCGTGTCCGGGATGTCCAGGTTTGTCTGACTTTAACCGTGGAAGTCTATAACATCCTTCCAATAAAATCCTGGTTTAGTACATAAGATTTGATTTTGTGTCACGTGGATTTACTGAGTTAGAAGCGCGTAAAAGACACTCGATCTGACCCGAAAAACTCTCAAAATGAACGCGTAGTTGTGTCCACTTTTTGAGAATATGGTCACCCTAATATATCGTAATATTGATTGGAGGCCATATCGCCCAGCCCTACAATCAAGCATGTTTTGGACAGGCGGGACAACCAAATCTGATCCACAGGGACCCCAACTCTTGACTTCCAGGACTTAAAGGACCCGGTGTCAACATAATGGAATAAATTAACCAAATAAAGTCATGCAACAACGTGTGAGCAGACGACTTGGTGCAACTTTACAACAAATCCATCCTTCTACTTGATCGAGTGTCAAACCTAACCCTTCAGACTCTAAATAAAACTCAGCGTTTGCATGAAGACGAAACTTGACCTGAATTATTTTTCACTTCTCGTTGAGTTTTAAACTTTTGCTTCCAAAGCTGAAAACCTCGTATTTAAAGTCATTTCACGTTGATTTTCCACACGGTGCTAACAGCCGCCTGCTGGACTCTGTTCCTGATTTGATTGACCCGATAAACTCTCTGTAATCACTAATCAATTATGTCGTCACCTGCCCTGAAACAGGCATAAAAAAAACTCCAACCTTTACAAGTGAGAGTAAAATAAAGAGAGCTGATTGGTTCCTCTCCCGCAGGCCGGCTCATGAAAACCTCTGCGCTGTAAAACCAACATGTACAAGTTTATATAAGAGTTTATTCCCCGTGATAAAAACATGATCGATTCTTGGCAGAGACTCAGAATTATCAGGACTTTTCATTAAATTTAGGAGGTTGTAATGATCCAGATGTTGTCCTGACTGTGGGTTTATGAGGGCGGGTAAATCTCACGTGTTCGGATGTGAAAGTTTGTGTCGTGGTCGTGGTCGTTGTTATTGTTCTCTTTGCCACAAAGATGTCAGGAGTGAGAGATGAGGCGCAGAGACCTCTGAGGATGATTACAAAACATCATTATCCCCCAGCTGTTGGACGATAACTAGTTATGACTGCTGCTGATTCATTTTGTCATCACGCCGTGTAACCTTCTCCTGTATTATCTCCTCTGCAGCCACAGAACAAGGTGTCATCCACGTGGAAAAACCCGTCCGGCCGATCGACTGTCCCGCGGTCCTCAACTTCAGCTTTGATCATCGGCGGGGTGGCTGATGGGAGCAAAGTGCTGTAACCGGATCCTCCGCCCACGCCGACGCTGGGATATCTGTCAGACGGTGAAATGATTTGTTATGCAAACCATTATTCATATCTGACAACACGCCGAGCGGCTACTTTGGTATTAATGGCCCCTCACACTGGAAGGCCTTTATTGATGTTGACAGCCACACCTTCTGAATCGCACGCTCGTCCTACGGCGCTCCGACGGGACTAATAAATGGAGGAGCGATGGGAATGAAGCGGGCGCCCGTGTGTGTGTGTGCGTGTTTGTTTGTGTGTCTCTGTTTGGGTCCAAACTTTAATGAACACGGATTCTCCCTCGTAAATATGACCAATCTGTCGTTCAAACCAGACTCTTCAGGTTCCTGTCAGTTTACGGAGTTAAACACAGATGCTTCTGTTTACCTGAGAGCGAAACGCCGTGAGCGGCAGCTGCGCTACGGCCGATTGTTCAGACGCAACTTTCTCAGAGTTTTATTTAGTTTTTAAACCTTTTTTTGTCTTATAACACATTTTAGTGAGTAAAACACCAAAAATCACTCAACATATAATCAGGACTTTAAACATGTGTCCTCAGAAACCTCTGCAGATACTCAGAGTGAATGATGCTCATGTTTTTAACTCACTCATGCACAATTTTAGGGTGACCATACATCCCCTTTTCCCCGGACATGTCCTCTTTTTTGGGGCCGGGGGAGTTTATAAAATCCTTCTAATGTCCGGGGTTTTGAGTTTTTGTCAGAAGCACATAAAAAAAAAACACTCGATCTGACCTTAAAAACTCTCAGAATTAACTACACACAACTCTGTGACTCCGCCCCCGCGAATTCTTGTCCTCTTTTTGGGGATTCAGAATATGGTAACCCTACAAAACTTTGATGTTGTCATCCTGATTACAGAAACCAATTTAAGATCATATAAAACCGGAGCACGACCTCTGCCTTTGACCTGTATTTACCGGGATATTGACTCATTTAAACACAGTGTCAGCTTCAGTGGACTATTACCGTATTTTCCGGACTATAAGTCGCTCTGGAGTACAAGTCGCACCAGCCATGAAATGCATAATAAAGAAGGAAAAAACATATATAAGTCGCACTGGAGTATAAGTCGCATTTTGGGGGAAATTTATTTGATAAAATCCAACATCAAGAACAGACGTCATTTAAAATTCAAATGACGAACAATTTAAAATAAAAATAGAATAGAGGCAACAACAGGCTGAATGGTATGCTTACGTTACATGACACAACTGAGAACGTGCCTGGTATGTTAACATAACATATTAAGAGTTATTCCGATAACTATAGCATAAATAACATGCTAAGAAGTTTACCAAAACCATCCGTGTCACTCCAAATACCGGTAACTAAAATCCAATGAAATCTTCATCCTCGGTGTCACTTTTCATCAACTCCGCTAACTCCGGAGGTAGAAGATGCGGCGCTTCCTCTTCTACGTCGGCAAAAGTCTACAGGCCTAGAGCGCCCTCTTGCGGTTTAGTGTGAAAATAACATGTGAAATTATATACCGGTAATAATGTGTTAATAATTTCACACATAAGTCGCTCCAGAGTATAAGGCGCACCCCCAGGCAAACTATGAAAAAAAACGCGACTTATAGTCCGGGAAATACGGTACATGATTTTACATGTTATTTCTGAGCATGCGCAGATTCAATAAAACCATAAACCAAGCATTTTGTGAAGACAGTATTCAGAGTCGAGCTCATCACTCTGTCGCTCATGCAAACACCCTTTTAGGAATATAACCCAAACTTAAATATGAGCTTTAATTAGACGATGATGTGCATGTAAATGTAGTTTTTATTGAAGTTGATCTTTGAGGACATGTCTCTGCACAGGCCGACTCTAAAGTTCCCTGTTTGTCTGATAGACGACGCTGCAATACGAGCAGAAACTCTTCTTCATGTACTTTAAATCTGCTGGGTGGAAATTTATGAGGCGTGATTGAAATGCATGACTAAATTTGGCATTTCCTGTTACAGTGAAAGATCCGTGAGACTTAAAGTTTTTAAAGATGCAGAATTTAACCGATCAGAGATACGTCTGATTCACGTGTGCAGCAGACAGGACGCCATCGAGAGTCTGACGTGAAGTGACAGCTCCCTCTGAACAATCTCCAAACACACACACACACACACACTGAGGTGAATGAATGACGGCCTAATCCTCCGTGTGTGTTGAAAACAATGAGGGACCGGTTCGTTTGTGACGATATCATGATCCCAGTTATGCAAACAGGTCTGATTGTTCGGCGCGGGCCGGCGGCTTCATGACGGTGTGATGTTGGTTTGTAAAAGGAGAGATACGACCTCCTCCCTCTCTTAATCTTCTTCCTCTCCCTCCGGCGAGTTTTCAGGGCAGAGGAAAATCATTCTTATTTTTTTATTCCCATCTCTTCCCGAACCAAGGTCAGTGAAAGCAGTGTGCGGAGCTTTAAACAAATTAATCCCTTACCTCTGGGGTTCTGGTACCATCTATCCGAGCTGTAATGTGATAAGGGGGACAGGGTGGAGAACAGGGGAGCAGCAGCTGCTCAGAGCAGCTAACACAGGCTCATTTCATCACCTGACACGCTTTTTCCTTTTCCCTATTACACCCACACCCCCGCAGCCTCCAAGGTGACTGCGCCGCCGTTACAGGAAATGGGAAAATAGCTTATGCTTTGGGTTATCAGAGTCGCTCCAAAATAAGCAGATCTCCTGTAAATCCCTGCAGCTGATGAGCGCCAGGACTGATACACCTACAACTGCAGCCGCCGTCGCCCTCGAGGCGTGTGAACGTGCGGAGCGTTGGAGAGGAAATCCTTCACTCACATGCAAACTCAGAGCAGCTGTGCTTTTGTGCCTCGTGTAGATGATGGCGTTTTCACTTGTAAAGATGGCGGCGTTAATGGCCGGGGTTGTGAGCAGACAGTGATCCGGCTCCGCATTGTGACAGGGAGGGAAAGTGAAAGCTCAGCAGAAGGAGGGAGTGAATGGGGGGGTGATGTATCGCCGTCTGAATGGCCTTATGACATTTCCATCATCCCATAAAGACTTAATGGAGGATGCACTGTCACACTCGGAGAGAACGGAGGGAGAGAGCGGAGAGAAAGAAACACACCGAAAATGAAAGAAAAGGGGGTCAGAGAGGGGAACCATTTAACGGGAGCAGATGGATCGTCAGGTGAAGTGGAATAGCGTGTCATCTGTAAAAGCATGCTGTCACACCTCACCTCTGCTCCCGCCCTCCTTCAGAAGAAACGAGAGCTCCTCCTTCTTTAGTAGAAACAGACACTTTTGCTGCGTTCCAATTACTTTGGAAGTCGGAGCTGGGAATGACGTTACACCAGAGTTGACGGCGTTCCAGTTAAAGGTGTTGTAGGCAGGAATCCATTAAAGAAGCATCTTTTTTTGGTGGTTTAATATACAAAAAAATCTTTAAATACCAGTCAATAGTTATTAGTTATTGATGACATTTGGGAATATAACGATATATCTGTGTTTATGTCTGTGTAGTCAACGGTCCGCTCTTTCTGACTGTAAACAAAGCCGTTCTCCACCTCCTCTAACCTGATTGGTTGTGAGGCAGACGCTGCTCCCCCGTGTCGTTCAGGAGCCCAAACAAAGTTAGCGTGCTACAATATCGGACAGTAGAAACCAACCAGAAAGTACGGAAAATTGTCTGAATCCTCCTTTGGCCACGACTGCCGACACAAGCAAGAAAACAAAGTAAATACCGGAGACTCTGGAGGAATAACGGGCGCTTAAAACGGAGGTAGACCAGACAAGAGCTAAAAAGCCGGGTCAACATAAACGATGGGGGACGCTTGGGGATCTTGGTGACCCTGTAACCTTTCTGCTGGACAGGTAAACCGCTTTAACAAAGTAAGACAAGTGTCTGTAACAGAAGTGTTTCTTGTCAAACGGGACTTTCCGAGTCAGAAATCCAACTTCAGGTTGGCATTCCAGATGAACTTCCGACTAGGAGCTTGGAACGCAGAACGCAGCATTTACATGGAGATGCTGGTCTACTGCTGCCATGATTGGTTAAGAATTTTCCAAACTCTGCGGCAGGTTGATCCGAGTGTTTCAGAGGGATGAAAAACAAGCTTCTCAGTTCAGAGAGGTTTTATAATACCGACAGATAAACATGTTTGTTTGTGCTGAAAAAACAGGATTTTTAACGGCGTGTTTGTGGCTTCTGGTGCTTCTACTTCTTCTACTTGGTTTAACCATCTAACCTGTTGGTTTTCTAGTTTGCAGCCTCCTGTTTGGTGCTGGACTCTTTTTTTATCCTGTCTTTACAAACTGATCGGTGTAAGACTCACGAAAGACGACCATCTGAGAAGGTTTTTAATGGCGACTGAAGCAGTTTGAACCCTCTCCTCATTTACTCGCCAAAACACACCAAACCAGCTCCCCGGCTAAAAACGACCATATTTCTCTGTTGACTGTTGCCTCTGTGCGGAGACAGATTGCTGTCCGCCGAGTGAAGTTGAGTGAATTTCACGCTTCCTGCCGCCGCAGCTCATCAGCTGCAGGGAAAACATCAAGCGGAGCAGGCTGCGAGGATGTCACCGAGCCACTGATGGATGGCAGACAGCTTGAGGGAGCGTCACTCTTGCTCACTCATGTCTGCTGAGTCTGCTGCAATCCCTCCGAGGGTTTATCATTTTGCTGTTAGTTTTTTTTTTTCTTCCCTGTGAAGCATATGGGAATGAGAGACTCAACTGGTATTGACAATTAACAGATTGAGAATGCTGCAAATTTGTAAAAGTCTGGTGAGATGTGAAATAAAATCCAACTTCTGCACGCAGCAGATGGACTGATTCATCTTCCTGGTCTTTGCGGGATCAGACCGATCCGAATGAAAGTCAGAACAAGAACACACGCAGGTGTAGTTTTCAGTTCTTCTGTCTTCTTTGGCTCTTTGGCGAACATGGATCAGCCCACAAATCTGTCGTCTCTGTAGTTCGCTTCACACACGTGGATCGTTTGCAGGTGCACAGTTCTCATCACGTGCAGACCTGCTGACACATCAGTGAAAGTGACAACAGGCGCGCTGAGGAATGAGAAGATGTTGGCGTTGCAGCAGGAGGGACATACTGAACAGAGAGGGTTTGGGGATGTTCGGGGTCTGGTAGTCGTAAAACATCACAGCAGAAGCCATCACGGTGCTCTCCACAGTCACTGTCGGCATAAATCTGTAGCCTCCGGGGTTTAGGAGAGATGTCACCTGGAAAAACGTAATGTCAAAACAATGTCATTTTAGCACTTCTGCAGAACTTTCCATCTGCACACCGAGGGGAACAGATGTTAAAGGAGTAAACAATGACAGCAGAAAGTCGCTGAATGACAAGTGGGACACTTTGTTTTCACCACACTGCTTTCAGTAATGGTAATTAATATTCTGCTGGGCAAACAGTTTGTCTTCCATTTTCATTTTCCATATGAACCAGAAAAAAAAAGAGCTGCAGAGACTCGAATATTCACCGTTAACTCTGCGAGAGTTTATCTGAAAGTCTCAGAAACACATTCGGGTTTGCAGAGCGTGACGCGAACCTTCGATTTTAGACTTTTTATTAGTTTTGTGTCGGAGGTAAAGGAGTTGAAGTGTCGCAAAACCCGGTCAGAACCTGGAGTTTGAGAAAGAAATGGAACAAAATCTGATCATGTGACGTGTTTAAAGTTTTTAAGTTATTTCAGTCAATGATTATCCAGGTACTGCTGCTGTTAGAGAGTAATCCACCTGCTTAATAATGAGAAAAACTATTTTAAAGAAGGTTTCACAAATAACTGAGAAGTTTAACGATACAGTATCGTTGACTATGTCGAGACTGCAATAAAAAAATGTGAATCCACCTGTCCTTACATGAACAGTTTGACAAGGCGCCCTACAACTCTATCTTTATTTAACTTAACCAGAACCACAACTTTACCCCCAGTTTCGACCTTCATCCTGATCGTCGACTAAAAGGTCGTATCCTCCGATCGTAGCTGATCGTAACCATTCAAGTTAACGTGTCAATTTACACCGACTTCTTTCGCCGGATCGTCGGACTCCACAGCTGATCGCAAGAGTTGCCGGACAGAGCCAGAGCATGCCGGATAAATTCAGCACAGATTAACAACATTTCATCTTAATGACACCATGGATGAGGAGATGCTGATTCTAGAAGTCTAGAAGTAGATTTCCTCCTCTGGAAGGACACAATCTACTGCTTATACTGTATGTCTATGTGTCTGTCTTTATAGAGACAACTCGTTATCGCGCGATTGAACGTGAATCCGCAGGTTCTTGTGAGTTCTCGTGATTCCTGCTGTCCGTAATCGGCCATGAAATTCGCCTCACAAACTGATCCGGTACGAATTGGCATACAGCGAAAATCGCCATTGTTCCAGATGTGGTGGAAATCGTGGGTTATTCTGTAAATCTTTCAAAACTTTATTTTGGAACCTTTATTTTTGTCTTTTAATGTAGCTCTAAAACTCTGAAACCAAAACTACAAAACTAAACTTATGAAAGCAGGATGAGAGAGTGACAGATTTGAGCGGTACATCCAAAATTTAACTCCATTAAACATTTATCCAGTAACAGGTAATTTCTTTAAATATTAGTCAGAAATTAGAAAAATATAACGCTAACATGAAAGCGTGTTTAGAGTCTGACAGTCAACTCCACAATCCGTGTCCAGTAAAAGATTTAATCCTGACCCATTTAATCCAAAAAGACCCTCAGATTAATCCTAATCTACAGACTGTATCATCACGCTCATGTAGTTTCTGATCCGTCTTACCTTCTTCTGTTTCAACAACCTCAATCTAATGATGGAAATCCATTAAAGGACGAACATTAAAATAATGATGTTGGTGAATAGAAGTTAAAGGTTTGTTTTTTTAATTATCGTACATGTTCAAAGATAAAATAACAAACAGCAGATGGACAAACGTGTGAATCTGAGATGAGGCTCCTGTGTCAGCATCTAACCTCTGCAGATCTGCAGGCTTCGTTTTTAATGATCATGTCCACACGTCAGGCTCATTCTGCAGGTATGAACTCCATCCGTTAATTACCTCCGGCGTACAAAGAGCTCATTTGTTCTGCACTTCTCTTCTTCTGAAAACGCAGAGACGCTGAAGGCTGAGGCGGCCGGACAGATGTTGGTTTTAACGCAGAGAGCACATGAACGTGCTGAAGAGGTAGAGTCACTCTGCTGTGAACTTGCCGCACATCTGCAGAGGTAGAGGTAGAGCGATGAACCGCTGACGCCGCCATCTGATCGGATCCCCGCAGGAAACCAGAAGAGCCTTCATTAAAGAGCGAGAGGATTCAGGTGAAACACGGACGCCGTAGCATTCAACCGACAGCACTGAAGAAAGAAAGGACTGAAGTGGGAATGTGAGGCGTTTCTGGAGTTTTATTCTTTCAAAGAAGCTGAAAGTGGTCGCACCTCTAACTAACAAACAACCCTCTCTGTGGTTAATGTTTGACAGCTCACTCTGCGACTCTACCAAGAAAAGTTAATGCCTCACTTTAGAAAGCTTTGATCGATTTCTGCTGCTTTGGTTTAAAACTTGGAGAAGGATCTGAAAACCTTTAATCCACAAAACTGGAACAACAAATCTCTGCACCAAAACCTCAAGAATCTGAAGATATTTTTCTAATTCTTGGAAGAATCTGGAGCTAATTTTGGTTTATAGACATGCTGGACATTTGGTACCATGAAATACACCGAGTCATTTTACCAAATCGGTGACATCTGGTCAGTCTCTGTCATTGAGGCGGTCTGGGGTGCAGCTTTATATCTATGAAAACCTTCATCTGAATCAGTACGTTTCCATGACGCTCAAGAAAACCGAATTATCGCCTTATTCCGATTAAGACAGGATAACTGAAGGTCATGAAAACACCTTAGTCCGACTATAATCGGAGTTTGAGAACTCTGATTCTAAGACACCCAGATAATGCGATGCGAGTATGATCAGACAATGCATGTGTGCATGCGCCACGCCCCCGTAATCAAAAACAAAAACAATGCTGTACGATGCTTCATCTTCTTGTTTCTCCAAAATGCCCAGCAGCAGTTGTAGACACTTCTGACGTCTGACACTGACCTGCTGTTGTTGTTGACGGTTGTATGGGGTCGGAAACAGCGCCGCTGAAAAGACCCATATCGCCCCCTAGTGTTGGGGAGGAGGACAAGTTCACATTAATAATTTAAAGGAGAGAAGTCTGATTCAGGCAGAAAAAATGAATTATGAGTTTAGTCCAATTAAACTGTGCATGTAAACACACTGAGTGACTATCCAGTCTCTGTGTGACATAAAGTTAGACATGGCTCATGGGTGTTACTTTTTACACAGTCATGAAACAACCTGAAAACAGAGGTCATTGACCTCCACAGACGTTTTCTTCGTGGTCAGCTGATCCAGGTCGGTCCGGTCCCACTGAAGCTGTCTCTGTCTCATTATATTTAACATGATTGTTATTAAATTTTGTGGGTCAGATGTAAAATCTGTCTGTTATAATGTCTCCGATGTAGCGCTGTGCTGTTTTTCCCTCTAATAGTATTCGGTGTAATCCTGCAGCCGCCCTCCGTCCTCGGCACACAATGTTCCTCTTTTACATTTACTGATTAACATGATGTGACAGTGGGACTGGGCACATGTTGTGTCACATAACAGAATCACATTTCTCCATCCAAGACCACATATCTGACTCATTTACACACACACACACACACACACACACATGCAGCAGTGAGCCACTTCAGAGTCCTTTTAGAGACCCGTGCTGCTGCAGGTTCGGATCACGGATGCTCGGCTGTTTGTTCTGCTTTTTAAAACTCCTTCAGGTTTTTCTCTGAAAAGCAGCTGTGAGCCACATCTATCCTCCGCTAACAGAGTCATAAATATACTAGTTTTGTTTTTGTCCTCATGGGAGTTTTTAATTTTAATCTTATATGAGTAAATTAGATATAATGAATAACTGGGAAATGAATCATCCAGCTCTGTTGTTGTTTGTTGTAAAATATATAAAAAGAAAAACATGCAAAAGTTGCTGATTAGAGTAAAATGTGACATTTACACGGCAGCAGCGGCGCCGCCCTCTGCTTCATTACAGAGTCATATTTCACATGCATGGGCAGCTGTATGCGATATGAATCCATGATGAAGTGAACGGATGTCAGCCATAAAGCAGCGCTCTTACCTCCTGACTGTCAGACCTCCTCGACTCCCTCGACCTCTCCGGAGCGAAGAGAAAAGACGGGATTGTAATCAGATTAGATCGGAGGACAGAAGAGCTAATTAGCGGTAAAGGCAGCTGAGTGAAAGCGAGCGGCGCGTTAACGCACACAAGTTCAGGAGCTGTTCTCTCATTAACACTTCATACAATTTGCTCATTTTACAGCCGGGCTGTCGAGGACGAGGATCGGTCGTGAATCTTTGAACTGGATTAGCAGATCTTTGTGGAGAGCGTGGCGAGCGCATCTTCAATTCTTTGATTTCTCAGATCATAAAATCAAGTCGAGTTTGAACTCCTCACCTCAGAGTCTGTGCTGAACCTGCAGACTGTCAACCTTTAAATGAGAGAGGATTGAAATCTGACATAGTCGCCACGATGAAGGGCCAACAATACGTTTCTCTTAACTCCCTAGTTTCCAAAACTCTTAATTACAGACAGACCCTTCCTAACGATCATTTTACATTTGGACAAAGACTATAATTATATATTACATTTGTTCCACCAGGCATTTTAGCTGATGACGTTCTTATCGGCTGGACAACTGCATCTGAAACCATCTTTTATCCAGGATAAACCAGCTGTAACATAAACCTGACTGACTTTAGTTGGACAGCACATCTAGATTATACAGCCTTATAATCCGGTGTGCCTTATGGCCCGATAAATACAGTATTTATTTAAAACTGCATTTAAATATTTGTCATATCTGCTAAATTTCCTTTTCCTTCAGTTTATTCGTGTTGGTTGAGTTTCCTTTATTTTCACACATTCATGTTTTATTTCCTGTTTTATTTTGAAATCACTAACCCTCGTTTCTGTCCTCTAGATTCGTTCCTATCTGGGCTGCCCCGCCTCCATCTTGGTACACCCATAGACATAATACACGTAGACGCCTCAAAGAGCTCACGTATCAGCGCGGCCGCCATCTTGGATGGGTCTCCCGTGCGCCTCCAGTGCATTAATGTAGGTAGGAATGCCCAACCATATTGTTAATAACGCTCCGAAATCTCTGCCCGATTTTCACTCTGTTTGGTTTGTTACAACGGCAGGGATGTCGCCATAATACAGGATAATATCACACATTAAAAATAAACCAAATTATTTTTCAATGATATTTGTGAAATGTGATCCTACATGATCTGGTTTCAATACTGCGTCGCGTTTTTCAACCATAGAGTGCAAAAAAAACAGGCATAGTTGTTCGTTCTCCATTGACCACGTTTGGCTCTTGCCGCCATGTTGAATGGGTCTCCCCACTCCAGGTTCGCTCGACACTGGATTAGGCCCCAGCACGTAACGAGGCATCTACGTATTTAATGTCTATGGTCACACCTGCCGCCTCATTGTGTCTCCCCACCTGTTTCCCATCACCCTCCTTACCTCTTATATTTAACCCTGTGTGTCTCACGGTGTCTTGCCGTTGTGTCCTCCTCTCTGTGCCTCCTTTCATTACCCTTTTTTTGTGATTTACGCTCTCTGGTCATGATCGAGGGTGTTTGTTTATGAGTCAGATTAAAGTGAGACAGATTAGACCCAAATAAAATCCAGATAAACTGATCTGAGTCTGTCAGGAAGATCTCAGGTGGTTGTTGGTCCGGTCAGCTGCAGCGGGACATCGGCGCATCTGTAGATCAAAAGACACAGACTGAGTCCCAGTTAGGGGGGGACACAGACACAGCCGAGTCCTGTCGTCTGCTCTCAGCGGGTGGGGGGAACAGGGAGCATCTGGTCCGAGCAGTGAGGAGTGTTTTCTGGTCACTGATATTGAACGTCTTTGTCTTCAGCAGCAGGAGGGATCAAACAGCCCAGCCTGACGCCGACTGATCAGAAAGTTCAATAAAGAGTCACTGACCGTCTCCTTAAAGAAATAAACCTGTTTTTTTTATTCTGCTGGACGATATTATCCCCCTACTTTAGTTAAAATACTTTAATACTTGTTATTTATCATAATTTTAGATAACAGATTGTTGCAACTGAAGAGGTCAGAGTTTTGAGCTCTTGCAGATTATTTCCAGACGTTCAAAAGCCGAACAAAAGCAAAAAGAAGAAAAAGATGTTCGGCACTTTTAAAGTCAGCGGCAGACGTTCGTCTCTCTGAGTCTGAGGCAACAAAGTCAAGACAAAGAGAAGAAAACAGCCCAGAAAGTCAACAGAGGCTCCACAGAAGAGAGAAATGTCAACAGACTTTGAGGTCAATCAGGTGCCGAGATGTTTTGTCTTCGCAGCGTTAAAAAAAAAACTCAGTTTAACGGGTTTATGATAAGACAGGGTCTGATTTAAGTTTAAATTCAACATTTAGTGAATATTTTTCTTAATAATGTCTTTTCTCAGTTCAGTATTTTGTGACAAATTTGACACTTTTGGTTTCATGGCCAAGATCATGTGTTTTAGTCTCTAACGGGGTTCAAGTGAAGTGAAATAAACATTTCAGCTCTGAAAAAATGTAATTTTCTGGCCATAATTTGTGGTTTCAGGCATTAAAGGGTTCGACTCCCTGTGCTCATCAGCACTCCTGGTGGACAAAGATGGTATCTAACCTGCAGCATCTGTTTGCAGAAAGAAACCTCTATTTTTGCAGTTAAAGAGGCGAAAGCTAAACTACAAATATAATCCAACTTTGCAGCAAAAACATGTTTATTATTCCCACGTGTTAGCATTGCAGCACTTTTGTGTTGTTCCATATGTGTCACTTTTGCCCAATCCTCGTATATGTTGATAAGATGTTGTTATTGTTGTATTTTTACTTGTTTTACCGCCACAGAACATCTCAGCTAGTCGACCTCTGCAGTATTAAAGCCTCTCGTTTAAACAGAGGAGTGTTTTGGCCTTCATAGCGTTTGTTTTACTTCATGTTTACTTACTTTGAAAGCATTAGTCATCCAATTCACCCACCAGGACACCAACAAAACAAAATATCACCTTCAGGCTACTCACAGAGCCTTGAGCTTGTTAAGTCGTGACTCTAATTCAGCAGCAGATAACTCCCATGGCTGTTCGAAACAGTCTTATCATCACTCCGAAACTTGTGCTCTTAGTAAAGAGTAGGAGGACGTCCCCTGAGCTGCTGCTGGTTCGATATGAAGAGCACCATATGCCGAAGTTTCATCTCCAGTGAGCTCGCTTCGCACTCAGCTTTCAGGAGCAGGAGTCTTTCTCCCTCTTTAAAGACTGTTACGACTCAACTCTGCCTGCAATAACAGCCAGACTCTGCTATGAATTTTTACAACTCAGTGGAGGAACATTTACTTTTGTCTCTCGAACCTGTTAACTGCTCCGAGAGAATATCAATTAGATCAGCGGCTCTGAAAAGCTGACACAAAAGCTGTTCGTTGTTTTTGTTTCAAGCCGCCGCCGCCGTACCTTCACTCCAGGAGTCGTCCTCACGCTTCTGCCAATTTAAATTATTTTCTACTTGTTTGCATAAAACAAGCGGGATTGATCCTCACTTCAAACTCAGCACCCAGTCTTACATTCCTCATGCAAATTATCTCCGCCGTGTCGTCCGCAATTGCTCACAGGCCCTTAAACTCACAGTGTGGTTTCTATGGGAACCAATCATTATCTCTGTCAGTTTGGTGACTTTGCTGAAACAGAGAAGCTTCTTCGTCTGGAGGAGGAGGGGGGGGTCATTTCTTGTCCAAAGATTGTAAGCATTATTGTGTATGTTGGTGCTGATGGTGATGATGTTATGATGAATGTGTTTTTGAGGTTTTAGGTCATCAGGCCCTTCAACCAATTCATGATCCGTTAGCCAAACCCATAAAACAGGCTGTAAGGACAAGTATTAATCCATCGTCTGGCTTTTTGATGCTCAATTGTTGCTTCACATGTTTTAAAATAGTGAAGAGACGAAGAAGAAGTAGCAGCTGCTTGTAAGCTAGCTGTAGAGATGATTCAGCACCTAAAGGGATATTCCGGTGTAAAATTAATTTAGGGTCAAACCCACCGTAACACTGAGTTAAGGTCCTTACACACCGGGCGAGAATTCGCCAGGCGAATTATTCGCCTTTTTTTAAAACAGCTTAAAGTCAATGCAAGCTTCCACACCGGCGGCGATTTTTCCGCGGGGCGAAAAGCCGCTTTTATTTTTTCGCTCCTGTGTCGAATTTTTCGGATATTCGCAGGCGAATATCTGGACCTGGTAGACCTCTGGCCAATCAAAAGTCATGTTGTTGATTACGTCACAGACCCATACGGCTGGAGGAGAGGGAGAAGTTTGAGATTATGAAAACGCAGAGAAAGACAGCTGAGTTGCATCCAAAACTCTTTCTAATTACAAATGAAGTAGTTTTCTCACAAGATGACACTCTCTTGTCTTCCTTAGGAGACAGATGTCATGTGTCATGTCCGTGCCGCAAAGCGACTTTATTAATTCGCTTTGCAAAAAATATACGCATATTCGCTTCGCGGCCGGTGTGTATAGGCGAAAGCGATTTTTCCGACCGGCGAATATTCGCAATTTTCGTCTCGCTATTTCGCTTCGCTCCGCAAATTCGCCGGTGTGTAAGGACCTTTAGACCCCCCCTCCAGAGATGAATGTTGTCGACCGCTTGCTTCTCTAGTTATACCAACTTTAGTAACGACTGCAGGATAGAAATACAGAGAGCCACGCCCTCAACCAAAACACCACTCTATAGCCACAAATAATGCTCAGAACAGCACCTAACTTCATCAACAGGACATATAGGGTCACAGACATAGTACTAGACACCAAACATCTTTTTAACTTTGACTCATTTCTTTAGCAAAGAGACTAAACACAACTCACCTACTCTCTTCCAACAGACGCTTGTTTGTAGAGAGACCTTAGGCCAGTCCATTACGGACTACAGCGGGGTGACGCAGCTCAAGGAAGAACATTAGGTGCTGTTCTGAGCATTATTTGTGGCTATAGAGTGGCGTTTTGGTTGAGGGCGTGGCTCTCTGTATTTCTATCCTGCGGTCGTTACTAAAGTTGGTATAACTAGAGAAGCAAGCGGTCAGCCAGAATATCCTTTTATAAAAAGCTTGCAAAGATTTATTTATATAAGAAAAAACAACAGTAAAGCTCTGTAGGTTTCTAATTTAATGTTAAAACTTTAGTTGTGTAATTTATAAGGTGGGATTGATAAGTTTTCAGACCAAAGTTACCTCTCAGCCAGAGATATTAGCCAGTGACCATGAATCTGCAGACACCATGAGGTCGAAACAAGCCTGTTGAATCAAAGATGAAAACTAAGGACATTTCTAAGGAACCTTAACCCTAGAACACTATCGCTAAAATTAGTAACACCATCACTATCGCCGGGGGTTTTTTACCCGAAATAATATACCCAAGAAAAAGTCCTTGTCGTCAAAATAAATCAAAATAGGAAAATACACGACAAATTAAAGTAGTTTTCTTTTATTTTAAACTGCAATGTTCAAAGGGGAGGAAAAAAGTGCCATGAGGGGACCATTTAAGAATACAACAAAATAACTGAAATTTGGCATTCATCAACAAACAATTCCTAAAACTCAAATATTTCTTATCACCATATGAGTTCCCTTAAAATCAGGACTTTGTGATAGTCATTCATAAACACTGCACTAAATAAAGATAGCATGTAAATTCCAGGACCACTCTTACTGACCTTATTCGCCTACATGCAGCTATCAAATCCACCCAAACCTATTTTACTATCTATCAGGGAAACAAATATTCCTTCAAAGATGTCAGAGGAAAAGCTTCATGTTGGTCGGGTTACAAATCACCTGGCGATAGAGTTCCAGGGTTAACAACAAGGACAAGAGGGATCTTGTTTGAGCTTCGATCACACAGGCTGCACATTAAATCCAGGTGTGTTCAGGTGTGTTCAGGTCTACTAACGGCCGACGTTCTTGCTGTTGTCACTGACACTCCCCCGAGTGCAGAGGAGGTCGTACCTGACCTGGTGTTCCTCCACCGCTATCTGTCTCCTGTGGTGACAGCAGGCTCTTGAAGCAGCACTTGAAGCTCTCTCTGCTGAGTCCACATGGAGTCAATGGAGCAGTGGGTGAATCTCAGAGGTGCTGTTTTCTCTCAGATTAAAACATTTGCACAGCGGTGACAGACAGACCTATTTCCAGCCCTCCTCAAACACCGTCCTGACGGGCCTGCTGTCCTCGGGGTTTGTTCAGACTCTGCGTGGACCTTTGCCGACTCTGAGGACTGCACAAATCTTGAGGGGCTCTCTTTGGGTCATTCAACAACAACAATAGCGGTGGTATAAATCTCCTTGACTTTGATAGTGTGACCTGACAAAGCTTATTTAGCTAACTGTTGCTCCAGCGTCTCTGCTGACATTGGCCTCTTTAGTCAAACACTGGCGAAGGTTTCACGGCGTGAATTGGTGTGACCGACAGACTTCAGGTCATCCGTTTTCCCTTCATCGTGCCTTTCTCCCAAAAAGGAGACTAAACAATGTCCGCCTGCCAGATGGGGCGGCTTTTTAAGGTTTCAACAGAGCGCTGTTTGCCTTCAGCATCAATCTGTTAGTCTCTCTGGTTTATTGCCGACGTATTTCTTACATCAGGGCGTAGATCAGGACAAGAGTTTTTGTCTTCTTGCCAGATCAGTGAAAGGACACAGCTGAAGAAGAGGAGGGTGGGTCTGCAAATGAAGCTGACTTTACAATTTTCCAAACATTGAGACCACTACAGTACCCTTCTGTTTCTGTCTCAGGAGAGTCCAGGATGGGACTAACTCACTTTAGAGTTATCATCTACGGTTTCTTCTTCCTCATCGTGAAAAACTTTGATGGGAACTTTGGAGATTTCTTGTGGATGATCAGAAAAGTGGATTGTATTATTCGTAAAACTTTTGCAGAACCAACTATTGGAACTATTCATGAACTTGAGGCCTACCTCTGACCGACAGCTCAGTACGCATGAACCGCCACCTTCCCATGAAGTTATCGTAAATGTTTGACCATCCTGCTCCATTAAACATCGTTTAGGTCTGACACGGTTTAGACTCTGGTTTTTAAACTTATTTCCTGATCCCAGTTTTCCTCCAGGGTGGCTCCATGAATTCCCTCCTACAATGAACTTTAACTTCTTAAATTTACACTAAATATTATTTTCGTTGTTTGCCTGAAGACACGCTCCTCCCTGACACCGCGGGACCTCCCTGAGTACAGCGAGTGCATGAACTGTTGTTGGGTTTTATTTGACACTTGTTCAGAGGTGGATTTGTCAGAGGAAGCAGAAAGATCGTGAACTTGCACTTTTTTCACGGCCTTTCTCGTGACGATAGTCTCCTCTTTTATGGACACAAACCCAGACTTTTCTCGTCGTGAAGTAAACTTCTTCTTGCCAACTTTTGAAACCTCCCTCCTGAGTGAAATAAAGATTGCTGGAGCGGCTCTAATCCAATTATTCCGATGGTATTCTTCTTCTTTAAAGTTATCAGCGAGGCCCTCATCACTATGCATCATGATCTCACTGATGGATTATAAAGCACATGGACTGGAGGATGCTACATCTTCCTTCTTGCCAAATGAGAAGCAGAAAAGCACTTCTCCTTGTTTCTTGCACTCTCCTCCAGAAGCGACTCCTTCAGCCTTTGCACCATTGTTCTTTTCCTACCCATCCACCTAATTAGAAGCCTTTGATACAGTATGAACAGAGAGAGGGACCCAGTTGGTGTGGAAACTCTAATGCACCCTCCAGTGGCTCTCACATTGATCCCTTTCTCTGTGAAGCTGCCATGAATTTGCACAGCGGCTCAGCGTGGGCTATCATAAAAGACAACGGCGCACCAGAGAAAAACAAACTCAGAAAGAAAAATCGTCTTTTATTTCGTTCTAAGGCGAACCGGCACCTGACAGCTATATGGGCGACTCGCTAATATAATGCTAATTGTAAGGCAAACAGGTCAGTGACATTTGTTGAAGCGGTCCTGGGGAGTGTTTGCATAATACTCCAGATTTATTTAACCCACTGCAGTGACATCCACAGCCGTCACAGACGAGGCTCCGGAGGTGCAAGAATTACAGGTTTGAATTCCCGTCTTCGTTTGCAGCCGATGGCGTGGTATTTGTTTTTCATCAGCGACTGTTTGGTTTGGCTGAATGTTTCCACAGGCAGAGCGGGGGGAGGGCAGGAGAGAGAGAGAGAGAGGAAGATTGTGGATTTCATTGTGCACGCCAACAACAGGCTCCAGCGGACCCAGCGGGCAGTGATTGGGCCGCGGCCATCGAAGCCTCTCTGAGAGAAAAGGTGCCAAGTGCTTGTCCATTATAACATGTCCTGTACTGCTTGAAAACCCCCTCACTCAGGAGTGCTCTTTGAGTGCGGTGGGGATACATCATGGGCAGAGTGTTTTTTTGACATTTTCTGATATTGCTAGAAACCATTTTTCCTAACCAGAGCTGACGAAGGAGGACTCGGACTGTTGGGAAGCCATGAAAACCTTATGGTGAGTGGAAGTCCAGGATGGACAAGGAAAACTGCGCACATCAAAACTCTGAGTGTGAATAAACAACCACACGATCTTTGACGGTCGCTGGTTCAACTCTCAGCCATGACCCTTTGCTGCAGTTGTCCTGTCAAATAAAGGCAAAAATGTTCAAAACCCCAACGATTATAAATCGTAATCCTTTTGGTTCAGAACCAGTAAACAAAGACATGTCCGTTAAACGTTTATCCTGCGTATGGGTCACTTGTGAAATTCAAAGTATCTCAAGTTATTACTCTGACCCAGGCGACTGTTTCTCACACCACTGCTGGTGGTTTTGAGGGGGTTGATGCCAAACCCTTGTTGTGTTAAAGGGATATTCCGACGTAAAATTAATTTAGGGTCAAACACACCATAACACCGAGTTAGACACCCCCTCCAGAGATGAATGTGCCGACTGCTTGCTTCTAGATAGTTATACCAGTTTTAGAAAAGACCGCACGATAGCAATACACAGCGGTCTGAGGAGCCATAAACAAACCTCAACCAAAGCGCCATTCCTTCATTTCTTCATGGAAATACAATCAGACCGAGACGCTAAGACAGAAGAACTACCGCGTCTGTAAAATGATTAATATGGTGATTATTACTTAAAGGAAATGATAAAGAAATGATCATAAATGTTCTTCCTTGAGCTGCGTCACCCCGCTGTAGTCCGTCATGGACTGGCCTGAGGTCTCCATAAAAACAAGCGTCTGCTGGAAGAGAGTAGGTGAGTTGTGTTTAGTCTCTTTGCTAAAGAAATGAGTCAAAGTTAAAAAGATGTTTGGTGTCTAGTACTATGTCTGTGACCCTATATGTCCTGTTGATGAAGTTAGGTGCTGTTCTGAGCATTATTTGTGGCTATAGAGTGGCGTTTTGGTTGAGCGCGTGGCTCTCTGTCATTACTAAAGTTGGTATAACTAGAGAAGCATCATTACTCTGTGCACTAACTCTGTGTCATGGTGTGTTTGACTCTAAATTAATTTTACGCCTGAATATTCCTTTAATGCCAAACCTGGTTGTGTTAATGAGTTTTTTAATTATTAGTCTAAGTTATCTTTCCACAACAAGCAGCCACATTAAAGAGAAAATGACTTCAAACAAAGAAGTTTGTAGTTTACAGTTTTGTTTCCGTCGCCTGGAGCCAAACCCTCCACATAATGGTCGCTGTGCTTGTTTCATCCTAAACCGAATCTTTTGTACATTTGTGCAGTTTAGTAAAACCAGCTCTCTGTGTGTTGGAGGAATTCAAGTGACAAATCAAACACTTGAAGCCGACTGAGCTTCAGGAAACAGGCGCTCGCTCATTGTTTAAGGATCTCCGTCAGGATGGGAGTGACGTCTCCTAAAGTCAGACAGACGCTGTGATTTAAAGATGGGAATAACTCTAGATCACTTTGATATCATTATTCAGAGGAGAGTGCTCTAGTATGTAGCTGAGGTAACACTTTATATTAAGGTGGTTGTAATAAGTTGTAATTACTATGTAATAAGTCATTATAAGACCGTATTAGAGTCTTATTAACACAAATAGGTCTATATAAGTGTTAATAGAGGCATTATAAATACCTTTATTATGTCTTATAAGACACTTACATGTACTAATTAGAAACTTAATTGTTTACATACTGTCATAAACATTAATTATCTGTTTGTTTACATTAATTAAGCTTCATAAGAAAATATAGAAGCCTTCTAATACTTTCTAAGCACTTATTATGCATTAATAAAGCTTCTTAGCAGGTACTGATCTAAAGTAGGAACACTGTTTATAAAGATTAATAAATAATTTGTAATGTGCTAATTAAGAGCTAATAAAGCTTCTTAACTGGATCTAAAGTGGGATTCGTGTTGCTCCTGTTAAGATGAGTTTGAAAAGCATCCACAAAAGTTGGAGAGAAAACTAAGTTGTGAAACACAAAGTCAAACTCTAAGACATCTTTCGCTGAGGTAGCTTTTTCTGATAGATTTTTAATGTTATACCACTTTTAAGAAAATAATTTAACCTTTTTTTATGTTACAAAAACATTGTATAAACAGCAACAAACAAATTTTATACAAATCTGAGAAAAAGAAACGTAGCAGAAAAATGTCTCCAAACCGCTAATAATGTAGCTGATCTATGTTAACATATGTCTGTGCAGTTTGGACAAGTTTTGAGTCTGAAAAGTTCATTCTTGACGAAGCGTCCCCCTAAACCACAAACACACACACACACACACACACACACACACACACACTCACACAGACACACACACACACTCGGTCCTCACGTCTCCTCTCGGTTGTATTTCTCAGCCTGTGGCTCCATCACTTATGAATACATCAGAAGCAGCTTTATCACCTGGGTCAAACCACCGGCTGCAGCTTAAGCATGCAAATGAATTGATGTTTATTTTGTTCTGTAAGGCAGAGCGTGTGCATATATTGTGTTTAGGAGGCCCCGGGGCAGCCGCTGCCTCACACCAATTACCATCAGTAAACGCAGGCTGCATCGCACGGATGGATTTCGACCTGTAAAGTGGATCATCGGTGTAAACATGATGTTTTTCAGAGAATTATTCTGAATATTATCAGAGGGAAAAGCCTCGAAGGAAGGAGACACATATTCAAGACATGAGGCGTGAAACCCCTCTGGCTTCAGACCCGGTCTAGTCCATGATGTGGACCAATCACAGACCAGCTTTGATGCGTCACTCATGCAGCACAAGGACAATCTGGACGGCCTGAGACCACAGCTCAACACTGAGACCTGGACTGAGGACAGAGTTTGTTAGCCAGACGTGCCTCCCTCGTCCCCTGGGCCACTTAGAAACGTACAATACAGTGTGTGTGTGTGTGTGTGTGTGTGTGTGTGTGTGTGTGTGTGTGTGTGTGTGTGTGTGTGTGTGTGTTCGTGTGTGTGTGGAGGTACTGAATAAAACTTGGATACATGAGCAGATTGGGAAACGAGTCACATGTGCAGACAGATTTGCAGAGCCTGGAACACACACACACACACACACACACACACATCAGGCATCCACATGTACATCCCCCTCCCCCAACACACACACACACACACTGTGTGTGTCATGGGACTACTTGTGGCCTCCAAAGGAGGTTTATTAGACACACCACAGATGGACTACTTGTCCCCTGTCCAACTGAGATGACTGTCAGTGTCACTCACGGATAAGAGCAGACTGAATCAGTGTGTGGCAGATTGCAGATAGGCTGAACACTACATGTCTAATTTACCAAAGATGCTAATAGCCCCACTTAATTCATTTGGATATTACAAAGTAATAATTACCATTTCACAGCCTGCTGATAATGGAGGCAGCCAAACACAGAGAGCGGCACCGGCTAATATCAGGGCAAGGTGACACCGTGGAGTTATTTTAAAAATGAGAAAATGAGGAATCTGTGAGTGTGAGTCTGGACCGGACTGCTGGGAAATGACCATGACTTTGTACCATCACAGTACATGATTGTAGAACCTGTCAGAGTACCATTGTGCTGTTCAGACTCCGCCAAAAGGAAGTCAATGATGCCGATAAATCTGGAGGAAGCTCCAGAGAGTCAGTGGTTATGTGTGTAAACCTCTGACAAGAATGTTTTGTTGTCATACCGTACAGTTTTTATCCTCCTCATCCTTGATACTGTACGGTACGCGTGATGTTTACCACACACAGCTGGACAGGCAGCTGACATTAGAGGGGGTCTAAAGCTTTAATGCAGAAAGGTGAGTAAACGTTAAAACAGTCAGACTCAATCAGCAGACAAGACGATAAGCTGACAGGAGACAGAAGTTTGGATTAGAGGGTTTTTACTGGAGTTGTCAAAATATCGGAACAAAGCCCACTGCGCAATGCAACATCGAAATGACATCGATTTAACGTATTTTTCCGGCAATGATGTACAAATGTGGATGTAATTTCAACGTCTAAAAGAGGTCCAATAATGACGTCTAAATCTTGGATCCATTTTGCACGTTGTGCCGACGTCTAGATTTGGTCTTCAGATGATGTCCAAATTCTAAACGTCAGAGCAACGTCTAAAAAACGTCCAATTTGGACGTCGAAGTTTCTAACCTATTTTGCACGTCGCACTGACATCTAGATGTGGTCTTTGACAGACCGACCCAATACCAATTTAATCTGCACATCTCTTCGATGTCCAATGTTTGGTGGGAGGGAAATCAGACCACACCATGCGGACGCCATCAGTTCACACGTTTAGCGAGGATTGTAACTTCTGGCTTCAAATGCTGCCAGATCGACGAGTCATTGCAGAGACAGAAAACGTTTTGACGTTTTGATAAAATATACAGAAAAAATCAAATTAAAACACATAAAAAATTTTTTTTTCAGTGCATAAATAAATGGACAACACTGTAGTGTCTTTGCAATCGAAAACATCCTGAGACAAGATCAGGTCCTTGTAGAGTGTCTGTTTGGGGAAATAGATGATCAGAGAACCCTGACACAGCCCCCCTCCGGATCAGGACCACTATGGCGCAGCCTCGTATAACTTGTTTTGGGTTCTGCAGATTTGTCTACAAAGTCTGTTTGTACAGATCGAGTTTGTGAAGGTTTGAGTTTGAATCATCCTTTATTGTTCAGACTTTACAGACGAGGCATGTACAAGAAGAGGAGATGACTCATGGGACCACATCATTTCTTCTTTTCCTGGAAGCCCATGTCGCGCTCAATGATGTCCAAAAAAAAAAAGCAGCGATTGGCCATCGAAGCCTCTCTTATTCTAAGCTTTAGAAAATCATGTGGAGTACCTTATTTGTACAAACATGCTCTCCATTCAGGAATAAATTTTCAGACCAACTCTGCAGCTCTTTTCATCTCTCGCTCTTTCTCATCTCCCTCTCTCCTCATCTCACTGGGGAAGATGAAAGGAGACGCTGGCACTGACTGTGAACTTCACAAGACATGGAGATATAGTACTTCTTTTGTGTGTGTTTTTTTTTAGTATGTGAGTGTGTGGGTGGGTTTTAAAGGACCTTTTTATTGGTTTTTACCCATACTTGTCAAATAACTTTTCTATTTGTAGCACTTGAAACTTGGGGAACAGGAGAAGAAGAAGAAGAAGAAGAAGAAGAAGAAGAAGAAGAAGAAGAAGAAGAAGAACAGGACAAAGATAGATGCAACACGACAGGCTAAACTAGCACTGTTACTATGCATCTGCTTTTCCAGACCTAAACAACTTAAACTGGACTTCACCAGAACCTTGTTCGGTATGTCTCCCTCAACATACCCTGTGCTGGTCCATGTGTCATGGTCTGGCATCGTGCAAAAATAGAAGCTGCTGCAGAGATACCTGGATCTGGGAACTGCAATACATCAGAGACAGTGGGAGCAAATGCATTAACTAAAGAGAAAATCCTATCTGCTCTGGTGCCATGGAGGATCTGGTGGACTTTCAAATCCTTTCCAGATTCTAACAGGCCCTCGGTAGACAGTAAATATGGCTTGCCAAAGCAGTTTGTTGGTGAAGAAATTTGTTGGTGACGCCGCTGCAAACATTTTACAGACTTGAGATCGTTTTCCTGGACTTAAATTGAGGAGTGAGACACTTTACATCCTTACCCAGGATTTCCACCGCATCCGGAACGGCGGAGATTTTCGCCGTATGCCAATTCCTACTGGATCCGTTAATGAGGCAAATTTTGTGGTGGATTACGGACAGCAGGAATCTGTGGATTCACTTGCAATCATGCAATAACAAGTTGTCTTGAGCCACAGAGGCTAACCATATAAGCAGTAGATTGTGTCCTTCCAGAGGAGGAAATGACGTCTAAAAACCTTTCACTTGTTCGTCTCCGCCCGTTTGCATGGTGTGAAATACGATCCTCCTGAAACACGGAGTGTTTTATTTTGAAAAGAAGCCGGATGTTTTATTTTGTGTCTGTGCCCGACTTCCTTTCCAGCACGGGTTAATCTGTGCTGAATTTATCCGGCATGCTCCGATCACTCTTGTGATCAGCAGCGAAACAGAAAAAAGCTGGTGTAAATTGACACGTTAACTTGAATGGTTACGATCAGCTACGATCGGAGGATACGAACTTTTAAGAGACGATCAGGATTGGGTAAAGAGAAAATCGTACCTGCTCTGGTGCCATGGAGGATCCTGTGATCTCTAAAACTCTTTCCAGAATCTAACAGGCAGCAGCGCCCAAGGTGGACAGTGAATATGACTCGCCAAAGCAGTTGAGAAAACAAATAAAGTAATTCGTTTCTGACGCCATTGCAAACATTTTACGGACTTGAGATTGTTTCTCTGGATTTAAGAGACTTTGCATCCTTACTTTCTCTGCTGAACGAAAAGATGCCTTGTAAATGCCTTGTAGCAGCCCGCTAGCTTGTAATGCTAGCACACATCATCACCTGTGTTGCATCATAATAAGTTTAAAGTTCTTGCAGGTTCATCCTAAAAACAGAGGAGCTGTGCTGCTGCATGGTCGCTGAGCTTGTTTTTCATTTTGGCTTTATTTTATTTTGCAGCTGGATGTTTAAAGACAGCAAATGTAAATTTCCCCACGTTGAAAATCACTCCATGATACCTTCGGTGTTGGTAAAATTAATGTACACATCATGAATAATAGCAAACAGCTGCTCCTGGCCCCCACGCCAGAGTTCACGGGGTCTCAACGCTCTACTGTTTCCGAAGGTTTAGGTCTAGAAAGGTTTAGACAAAGACTGGCTCCTTTCTTCAGAGTCCAGACCCTCAGGCTTCGGTGTTTTTCCACATTAAAACAGAGCAGAGCACCTAAAATTCTTCCTATTTGCGTGGGTCCGTGCCAATCCAAATCGTTTTGCTGATTATTTTCCAGGGATTAGGGGTATTTTCCGGTAGAATGTAATAACCCCTGTATATTTTAACCTCCTTTTAATCAGCAGGGAAAAGGGACAATCAGTTACATCACTGAGGTGGAGAGCGCTGGTTTTCCCCCCACGCCACAGTGTACTGCTTATTTATCCAGCATCTAATGCTGGCCTGGTTTATTTTGTCAGACTGAGTGAAATTCCAGTATCAGCCCAGATTTCTATGAGGCGGCGAGCTCCGTCTGGCTCCTCTCTGTCTTAGCAGATGTGGAGGAGTGGACTGGAGGTGGTGTTGGTGATGTGAGCTGGCCCACTCCGCTCCTAATAGTGGAAATGTTTCAGACGTACAGTAATTGGATCATTTAAAGGCCCGCTGACAGAAACTGCTGAATAAGTGTGTATTATTAATAAGATCAACCTCTTTAAACAGCGTCACAGAGTTAAAGACTTTAATGTGTTTCACCAAGGTTAGAGCTGGCCGAGTGACAAATCACCTTCAGATGGATATATGTAACACGAGAGGTTTAATGTTGGCTTTTAAAAATGCATAACTTTGTCTTATTCCTCCAAACTGGAGAGTCTCAGAGTCATTACTGTGAGACGGATTCAATCAGCTGATTAGACATCAGAACCAAAGATATAACAGGTGTTTAGATCTGCAACATTTCCTTTTCTTGACATTTGTGTGAGGATAAAATTATAATATTTTTGTCACTAATATGCATGTAAGTAAAATGAGAGAGGATTTGTGGCTGTTGCACATTTATGAACACACCAATGGCCTCTGTTTGTTAAATAGTTCAGTTTATATGCAGACGATGCAGCCGTGTGGATGTCAGTTTGTGCTCTAATAGGAAAAACTCAAAAACAGTAAAATCCAGTTAAAAAAAAAAAAAAAATCCTGCAGAAACACCCGAAACTCCTTTTTCACCGTTGACCATTCTGCAACTGTTCACTCAAAAACTGTAAAATCTTGTAAAAAAAAAAATGATAATAATCAAAAAAGAAAATCTAAATCTAATTTTTAGCTTCCATATTGTTGACCAGCCTGCAACTGTTGGTTCAAAAACTGTAAAATCTTGTAATAAAATAAAATAGATAAATAAATAAATCTCCTTTTAAGCCTTTATGTCGATTATGTCAACTTCCAACTACAATGTCAAAAATCCTGTACAAAAAAAAAAAAAATGTATCTCCTTTTTAGCTTCTATGTCATTGACCGACTTGCAACTAAGAGCTAAAAAAAAAAAAAAAAGTAAAATCCTGTAAAAAATTAAAATAAAATATATAAATAAGTCTCCTTTTAAGCTAACAGGTTGTTGTCCGACTGAGAGCTCAGAAATGGTAAAATCTTATATATATAAAAAAATAATAATAAGTTTTCTTCTTAGCTTCCATATCGTCGACCCGTCTGCAACTGTTGGCTCAAAAATGGTAAAATCTTGTAAAAACAAAAAAATAAATAAAAATTAAAAAAAATAAACCCCCTTTCAGCTTCCATGTCGTTGACCAACTTTCAACTGAGAGCTCAAAAACAGTAAAACCCTGTTGAAAAAAAATTATATCTAGGAGCTCAAAAACAGTAAAATCCTGCAAAAAAAAAATCTGAGTAAAAAAACAGGAAAATCCTGTAAAAAAATCTGATAATCTGAAAATCATGTTGAATAAGTCCTGCAGTAACACCTGAATCTCTTTTTCAGATTCCACGTCAGTGATCGACCTGTGGCTGCGTTCTGCAGATGAAGTGATTCCTGATGTACGTCCACACCTGAAGCGGTCGGCGTTTCTCCTCTTGCGTTCCCGTCTGATTCGAGGGTTGATTGCAGGAACAGTCGAGGTTGATGAAAGCTCGTCTGTTTGGACACACTGATTGGTAAGACTCACACACTCATACACTCAGCAGGGGGTACAAGCAGCCTTGGGTGAACAGTGCAAATGATCTCGGCATAATGACTAATTCATCATCCCTTTGACTCTGTGTTGGGATATCAAAGCGCTTAACAGAATAGACAAACACGACAAAATATCGCTGTTTCTGCCTCTGCCGTCAGATTTAATATTCCTTTTGTTTCGTCTGATGGTTGCAAAAAGTAGAATTGACTCCTCGCGCCTGTGATTGTCCGCATTTGTTCTCGGATTAATCCCTCCATCCTCGCCATGCCAAACAAGAAGAGCTGGCGCATCTTTGATCTGCAGACAGGAAGAGTTAAATCTGTTTGATCTCTTCGATTGGCCCCCCGACTTGGTGTCTAGACACTCAGGCCGGCGGGTGAGTCTTCTCCTCTCTTTTTATACGCCTGCTCTGCAAGTCTGGGCTCTAACAACACTCGAGGGATGCGCCGCATACTTCAAAACACTCTCAGCAGTGGGACACAGACGGAAAATGAGAACGCAAAAAGTGTTTAATTGCTTTGGTAATTATTCGGACTGAAAATATCACTTGACCTTCTGCAGCCTACATGGGGGGAAATAAAGGAATAAATCAGTCAGTAAATTGAGACATCCTTGAGTATGAAAGTGGAGGGCTCGGCCTCCCAAAAGTAGGCTCTTTATTTTTCCTTGTAATGAATTTTGCATAAGAAGCTCAAACACATGCCTGTGAATACGGCTTCCTTCTCAGAGTATGACTCACTTATTGTCCTGCCTCTCCTTAAACAACTCGAACACTGTTTCCTCTTTTTGTTTTTTTTACCAACTTTAGAAGAAAAACACGTCGACACGGATGCAGCATCAAAGTTCCCGCAGCTGCAAATGTATTCGCAGTTTCCCTTCCCCATCCTTCGTTCCTCGTCGTGGGTGCGAGGTGATCGACAAGAAGCAGAGTGAAACATAACGTGGCAGTGAAATAAAAAAGAACGACTCAGCCCGGGCACGCTGGAAACATGCTGCCAAAACAAACTTCAGCATTCAGAGGTAGTCTTCGGAGTTATGTAGGTCTTCAGGGAGGAAAACGACTCCGAATGTTTCCATGTGCTGCGCAAGAAGAAACAGAAATAGAGGGGTAACAGTTAACACGCTAAAATATCTGAAATATTTCCGACATTACTCTGCATGACAGTGATCGACATTTTATTTACACTGTAGGAAGATCAGAGATCTTTCTGTCCCAAATTCAACACCAACAACTCAAATATCCATTATTGAGCCGAGGGAGAGAGAGCAGATGGACGACAGGATCAGAAGATTTCCACCAAGTCTTGCCACGACTTTGAAGACGGTGGAGTAACATCTGGGTCAGCAAACCGGGCCAAAACAGGCAGGAATTAAACCGAAGTGCTGCGAAAGAAAAACCCTCGAACATGGACTTATTGGGATCAGCAGAAGAATTAAGAAGACCATAAACATTTCATGAAAAACCTCTTTTACAATTCAACGTTTCAGGGTCTCCTTGGTTTTGTTTTTGGGGTCATGATTCCAAGTCAGGACTCTTCTCCTACAGAGCCGTGATGTTGTAATCCCTGCAGAATGTGGTTTTGCTGAAGTATAAAAGTCAGTATCTGGATGGACGCAGGTGTTGCTCCTAAACCTGGAGATATTGTCTAAAACTGAGGACGCAGCATCTATGATTTCCAATTCTTCGTCAAATGGACAACTGGATTTAGGTGAAACGTCTCAAGTAAGTCCAGTTGTCCTTTTCAAAAGAGTGTTAGATTTTGATCCATCAGACCTCAGGACAGTTCATGGACATATGATATTAAGCCCATGAGGTGACTCCAACTACAGAGTCCTGTTGCTCCTAACCCGGGATTTCCACTGCATCAGGATCAGCCCCAATCTGGAATGGCGGCGATTTTCGCCAAGCACCAATTTCTACCAGATCCATTTGTAAGGCAAACTTTGTGGCGAATTACGGACAGCAGGAATCACGAGAACTTCATGTGCAATCGCTCGATAACAAATTGTCTTTAGCCACAGAGGCTAACCATAAAAGCAGTAGACTGTGTCCTTCCAGAGGAGGAAATCTACTTCTAGACTTCTAGAATCAGCATCTCCTCATCCATGGTGTCATCGGGGTGAAATGACGTCTAAAAACCGGATGTTTTATTTTGAGTCTGTGCCCGACTTCCTTTCCAGCACGGGTTAATCTGTGCTGAATTTATCCGCCATGCTCCGGCGTCCAGAAAAAATAGAACTCTTGAGATCAGCTGGGAAGTCCCGCGATCCACAGAGGAACGGAAAGAAGCCGGTGGAAATTGACACGTTAACTTGAATGGTTACGATCAGCTACGATCAGAGGATACGGCCTGTTGGTAGACGTTCTGGATGCGGTGATATCATCAGAGATACTGGACCTGGACTGAGAACAAGCTGGATGGTCACTCTGCTCTTCAGATTCAGGATTTACGTGATTTTGAGCTCATGCGTTGATTTCCACTTCAGAGTCCTGTCTGTTTTTAAAGCTGTAGCTGCTTTTTTTTTTAGCATAACTCAACTCTAATTAAATGAGCATGTATTTCTATTATAAAACAATATTTTTTTAATTATATATATTTTATTTTTAAACCATTAAAATCAGTTTTTATTAATCTTTCACGCAGAACTTCATAACTTTCTTTTTCTCGTCTTTTACCCGCTCAGAGGGATTTACACGACATGCGAACATTTACCTCCTCACAATCTATCACACTGATGGCAGGGCTGTTAAACTGTCCATAAGGATCAAGCTAACATATTCACAAGCACACTCACACACCTGTGGCTCTACCTTTGGGACCAATTTGGGGCTCAATGTCTCCGTCAAGGACACGCCGTCACGCAGGCTGGAGCAGCTGACCGGGGCGCCGTTTTTCTGACACTCTCTTTTGTCTGACTTTCAACTCCACCGTGAAAAAACTTGATTATAATAATGAGACCAAAACGTTTTCTGGTGTGGAGATTTATTCTGTGATTTGTCCACTTTGAACTCTCGGGTATGTTTCTTACTGTACCTTTCATCTTGAGATGCTCTGACATTTGAAGGGGTTAGCGTGTCCTGGTTGGTGGCCTTTGCGGCTCTCTCTGTGAAAAACAGCGAGTCTTTCAGTCCGGACTGAAAGTACACGGGGGAGAGAGGAGTGTCAAACAGCAGAGGAGTGCCGACTGAATACTTTATGACCCTCAGAGAGAGCAGCAGCAGCAGGTTCCCACCGCCATAGTAACAACTGTGAAAAATTCAATTCCTCCTGCCTCTCCCTCTCAGAGTGTGGAGGATTAAGGCTGGAGAGGCACACTCGACTACCCGCTGGTGCCGCTCGGCTCTCTCACAGGCCCCCAACATACAGGAGCCTTTCACAGGGTGGCCATTCTTACTGCCTGACTTATGCCCACGATTCCATTTCCCTGACATCCGCACAGCATCCAGCAGCCCCCGTAAAACCGCCTCGCCATCCGTCTGCGGCGTCTCTCTTATTAAATCTAATCAGGATGACACCTCTCACCTTTTTCATCCCCGCTTTGTGCTACAGTTTTATTTCTCCGGCGAGGTCGACCTGTGTGTTTACATTAGCGCGGTGCCTCCTCCCCGCCGAGGTATTGATGTGGCATTAAGGGGCCTGAGACTGAAGGAGCGAAAAGAAAGAGAGACGGACGAAGAAGATGAGTTTTCAGAGTTCTTCACAGAGACCAGAGTCCAGCCAGGACGACAGTTTGTTCCCCTCTGAGCCGAACAGGACTGGACTGGATATGAGGAAAGTCGGAGTTTGAAAACAGACGCCATGCTGAGGCCTCGATTTTTACACGATCCTGTTAAAATCCCCTAATGAAGGTGTTTTACTTTAAACTGAGTTAAATTTGGAAATGTTTGCAGGTGTCAGAGGATCTGAGATCTCACCATGAGAAGCTAACGTCAATATAATCCAATTTTTAACAAGCCTAAACAAAGAAAAGCTGAACTTACATGACTGTCCGTGCAGATATAAGGAGTTAAGGTCCTTACACACCGGTAACAACAGAAATTACGAAATATTCAGAGGCGAATTTTGACACCTGACTATACACATCAAGTGCGAGACCTAACGGTGCTGTGACAGCAAAAATAGTGAAAATATGGTATGTTGTATCTGAACAGGTTAGCTTACGAGCTAAAGTTACTTAGCACAGATGAAAGTTCAAACAAAGACGTTTATCAAACTGTTAAAGCTCACAAACCATCGTCAGATGAGAAATCCGACGCTATGACTCTCCACAAGTCGTCCTTCAGGTCGTTATCTTTGTAATGTTTGTGTCTTTTATTAAAAATCACTCTGTTCTCCGACACAGAAACAATCAGACGGTCGGCCATGTTGGATATACCGATGAATCTGACGTCGGAACAACATGAAATCTGATTGGTCAGAAGTGGACACACGGTATGAGAAACTTTAGAAAATTCGACCGTGATCCGAAAAAATAAATGCCGCAATATCGCAGGACGGGAAAACGTCGCTGATGTGAACGCTTGTATTGACAGGATTCTGAAATTATCGCACGAAAAAAAAAACCCTCTCGAAGTGAAAGGACCTTATGAATCATTAGATGTATTTGGTATTTGTTGTTTGTTTACTTTTAAATGTTTTTTTAATGATTTTTAAGTGTTTTAACCATTTTTAAATAGTGTTCTTGTGTTTTAATCCATCCTGTTGAACTGTGACGGTGTAAACTTCTGTTCCACACAGTGTAACAGACAAATATAAAAACTCTCTATCGACCTTTTTCTTCGATTTAAAATCATTTAAGTGATTTTTTCAGAAATATAACATTGCCGAAAAATCGTTATCAAAGCTAGTAATTTAGCTAAAGATGAACTTTGTTTTTTAATCAGCATCATTCTCATCATACTACAGCATCGATTTTGTCACCTTACTTTACAACATTCTTCTGATGTAAAAATATTTTTAAACAAATTTTAAAACCTTAAAATATTTTTTAATGCAGCCGTAATCTCTACCCTACTTTTGACACTATATTATTTTTTTTTTTTTTTACCTTGATCATAAAAAATAAGTGAGTAATTCTTAAAGTAAAACGTATTTTTAACTCTAAAAGCTTCTTGGATTTAAATTTATATATTTTTTTATTCACTTGTTTAAATATATTTTCTGTGATTTTCTTTCTGCACCTTTTGACATTTAAATTTGATTTTTGTATTTTATTTATTTATTTATCATTGATTTATACATTTGTATATATTTTTTGCAGCCGTTCAGACTTAAGTGATACACATATATGTTTGTGCTAATACAAACTAACTTTATCTTTATTATTGTTTTCGTATATCTATGTCTGTTTGTGTCTGTTTGCTTGTTTTCTATTATTTATAAATTTTTTATATTTTTGCAGATATGTTTTTCAGTTTTTCATCGTTGAGAACATCGTAACTTTATTTTTAAAAGGTTCTGTCTTGATAAAATATCATTATCATTGTAACTGTTACTTACGTCTCTCTGTGTGATTCAGCGGCCAACAGCGCCCCTGCTGGCGGCTTTCAGACGTTACCTCTGCAGACGAGCAAAGCTGGGTTTATTTTTTTGGTTTGATAGTTTCCTCCGAGCGCTCTCTCCCATGATGCACTGCTGGGTTCCACTGATGTGTCCCAGTTCCTCCAGTTCGACCGTCCTGCTGTTTATTTTCACGCTGATTGACAACTTCCAGATGAGACAGGGACCCACAAGGCCACCGAGACTCTTTGAAGGTCCTCCATCTCGGGGACATTTGTGGAAAAACTCAGAGCCTGAATTTTTAATTTAGCTTTCTGGATTTCTGTTTCTATTTTTGGAGTTTTTCTATTTCTCCATTTGTCTGCGGTTTGTGTACAAATGCTTTTTTCTTCGGTTTGCACTCGTCGGAGCTCGGTGCATTTGGAAAAACTCCACGGATCACTCAGCAGAGCATGTGTAAAAGGCAGAGAGGACATCGTTCTCTTCGCACACGTGGACAGAAATACTCTCCTCTTCACGGCCTGACTGGGTTCAAAGTACCAGCAAAATGAAATCAGCCCGTTTGGGTGTCTTTTGAACCGTTTAAAAGGATGCACGCAGCGATGTTTCATGGTATTAAGTATTAATGCCGGGTCTGTTGTGATGCCTCCATCTGCCGTCCTGCTGGCCGGACTCAAAGATCCGACATAAAAGAAACAGATGGAAAAACACACAACACGGGCAGAGAGAGCGCTCCGCCTGTGGTGAGAGGCTGGGCCGCTACAAATGGACGGCATAGCTTCACATTCAGAGCTTTATAAATTCCTCTAATAGTTCCAGTGGAGTAAATAGTGTGCGTCTAAAAATACAGTCGTAGAAACGCACTAAAAGGATTGTTCCATTTGTCCGATTGCGCTGATTCATAATTGATATCAGGGACGATTGAAAGCACAGAGAGCGGTGTTAAGAAGAAGCCGGCTGCACATGAAGAAGTTTTTACTCTCCTGAAACACTGGCACAGATGTCACTGTTTACACTTTTAGACGGGGACGCTCGTTTCGGGGCTTTTGGGGACATGAAAAGCAGCAGAAACGCCATTTTTAACATTTTTGTTTTGTGGATTTCTGGACGTTTGAAATCACTCAATCAAAGTTTGCAAACAATAAAGTACAAGTCCTTTCTATTTCTGGGTTACATCTGCTGCACAGCTCAAAGTGTGAGGAGAAAGCCCGCCTGCACACACTCTCGTGGTCTCGCATGGATGTTGATGTAGATTCACACATGTCTGCCGGCTCATATTTTACGTGCCGTGCCAGCGGTTGCAGAGGGCCGGTTTCCAGTGAAACTCGTCTCTGTTTGGCAGAAAACAAGAGTGGAGTCATCCATCAAACTGACACACTAACATTCGAGTTGTTGATGAACTATAAACTTGATCCATTCAGTCCAAATAAAAGTGAACAAAGAGCTTCACAGCGGTCAGGAGAGGAGGGGTGAACACACTCCTGAGGAACACGGGGTTAAGATTCGGGATTCCAGTCAGATACAAATACAGTCAGATATGAAGAGATGCAAAGAGGATTAATGGGCTTTAATTTCATGATCACATGCAGATGAGCCGCAAGTCGCCATGTTTATGATTAATATATGTAACAGAAGTATTTAGAGTGACCACCTATGAACGAAGCATGCAGGTGCAGCTCAAGTCAGAGGACTATTTTGGAGCGTATCTGTCTCTGATTTCAAGGATTGATCCAAGGCCCTTAATCAATGATGACTAACTCATCTTCTACTTGTTAATTTATTTACGTTCATCAATTAAAAAAAAAAACTCTCAGAGTTGCTTAAGCTTTTTTTTTGTTGTGCTGCACATTTTGCACATGCGCACTCCTGCACATTTTGTGGCCTGCGACATTTTTGTGACACCCATTCATAGAAAATATAAAAATGTAAAAGTTGCACATTGGAGTTTAAATGTAATGCAGCTTGTTTGTAAAGGATGTGTCTGATCATACATAAAACATGTTTGCATCAGAGTTTTTAGTACAGGGTGAACGTGAACTTTGTGTTTTACCTTTCTTAACCATAAATTCAAAATTCAGTCATATTCATTTGGTTCCTATTTCAATTCATGAGCAATAATTGCTTTTTAAATATGGACTTCAGAAATTTTTCCAAAATGCAAAATATTATTTATTCAAACACAAAGTTAAAATGAGATTAATTATGATTTTTAAAAATATAATGTTTGACTGATAATTAGTAGAAACTGTCCTGATATGTTCTGTAAATTTAGCTTTTCCTGGTTTTATTTAAGTCTATTTTCCCTCGTGTTCCTGTTCCCCTGTCGTCCAGTCTTGTGAGTTTTCAGTTTGACCCTGTTTCCCTCCTGTTCTCAGTGTTTTATTCTTTAGATCAGTTTTCAGTGTTTATTTCCTGTTTTATTTTGTAGGAGTCGATTCCTACTTTGGTTTTACTTCCCCAGTTTTCCCTCCTTCGTTAATCACTCATCAGTCTCACCTGTATCTCGTCTGTCTCACCTGTTGCACGTTTACCTGTGTGTATTTAGTCTCTGTCTTCTCCTCTGTTCTTGTTGGTTTATTGTGTGTTTGTATTTTTATGTCAGTGTTTGTTTGGATCCCCAGTCAGTCTCCTTAAAAATCATTTATAATTAAATTAATCATTTTACTCCAAGATCATCCTCAGCTCTCTCAGCATCTATCAGTCAAATTCTATATTTTAATGTAGATCAGCTGAGTTTTAAAATGACCTGAGTTAGTGACGACATATTTAATCATAAAGCACATTTAAAAACTCACCTTCTCTGCAGTTCTGTACAACCAAAGAGAAAACAAAAAACACCTGAAAATACAAAAAAACCACAGAAAATTAAATAAAAATAAAAAAAATTCAAAAACTGATAAATACGAGAATTCAACGTCTGTACTCTGTAAGTGTTGACGGTGTTATATTATTAAACATAAAAAACTAATGACACAAATAAAACTAAACAAACTCATTTTTAGTAATTATTTAATATTTAATACAGACTCAGCAGAGACAATAATCTGTATATTAATGAAATGTTATTGTTATTGAAATGTTAAAATTTTATGTGTTTTAAAAACAATCAACTTTTATCAAACTGTTTTAAAACTTTTCTAAACAAGTTTTCTTCAGTTTTTATTTCATTTATTTTTATTACTAAGTGTAAAAATGACATATTTACATTAATAAACATTCATATTTGCAATATAGTTTTTAAGGAC